CAAAAAAGATCGCGTTTGCCATATGAAATTATAATTTGGTGCATTAATTATTATACACAGAATATTTACTGTTTACTATTATAAAAGAGCCGTGATAGCTCAGTGTCCGGGCGCTCGCCTTTAATTCAATATACTCGAGCAACCTGAGTTCGATCCCCGGTGCCGGCACCAATGAAGTTTTTAACTTTAAGTGCTGACTTATCACGTGCTCCGCGGTGAAGGAAAACATCGTGAGGAAACCTGCATATTTTCTAAATAATAACAAAAAATATTTCGAAGATATGTGAAGTCCGCCAATCCGCAGTGGGGCTGCGTGGTGGACTATGCCCTGATACCCTCTGTATAGAGGAGGCCTTTGCCCAGCAGTGGGACATGTATAGGCTGTTACTTTACTTTTACTTTTATTATAAAACTCAGAGTTTCTTTGACAAAGGTTTTATGTGTACACACTTCAATAAAAACCGTAGCAAAGGCCGTTATTACATATAAACAAATATTTATCTTCAGGTTTCTATGGTAATGAATGATCGCAGGTTATGGGTCATCAAAAGGATACGGGTAGTAGAAAATTATAGTAAGTACCTATAATTTTGAGGGGTAAAGCGATTTGTATCCAGAAATTATATAGTCTTATTGCAAATACTCGCTACGTTGCTTATAAATGTTGCTAGATCAGAAGATAATTTTCCACTCTACGACTTCTTAATCCATGGCTGCTTCAGTAATTATCCATCGCAACATTTATTTGTTTATTTATTTAAACATTAATCTTGTGTACAGGTGGAATTAATGTCTGAAGCATTCTTTACTAGTCAACCTAATAGGTTGGGGAAAAAGTTTCTTCGCATTTTATATGAAAATTCAAAATATTTTTTTATAAAGTTTATTTACATTTAATTAAAGTATGTAGGTGACATTTTGTTCGATACCTTTCTGCCATCTTGTAGGTAGGGACATGATCCCATTGCTATAGAAATTCTGGGGCTTCTGATCAAAAAACCGCGACATGTGGTTTTGGCAGTACTCTCGTAATGTTATACGGCGGATGCATTAACACCTCCCAGTCAAACTATCTTAATTTTTGCTGAGTAGCTAAAGATGTGTTAGGTCTAGCGTTATCATGATGCAAAACCACACCCATTCTATTGATTAATTTCGGCCGCTTTCTCTCAACTTCTTGCTTTAATCTCATCAGCTGTTCGCAGTAGAGTTCAGAATCAATGGTACTGCTTAGCGGTAACTGCTCATAATAAATAATGCCCTTCCAATCCCACCATACACACCTTGTTGCAAGATAAGCCGGGTTTTGCCAGAGTCTGTGAAGCCTGAGCCAGCCTTTGACCACGACCTTTTTCGCACGTTTTGTCGTACGTGATCCACTTTTCATCAGCAGTTATTTTTTTAGCAGGTTTTTCAAAAATGGTTCGGTTTCATTACTTCGTAATAAAGAATCACAAATGAGTACATGGTTCATTACATTTCTTTCTGTGAGCTGATGAGGCCAGCTGATGAACCCAAATCTCTAGCTTTTTTCAAATGCGCCAAACCTATTTTGTGGTCAATTCCCAGTTCTTCAGCTACATCGAAACTACTGATATGCCGATCTTGCTCCACTTTTTCAAAAATGGCATCCCTTTTATCCGTAACAGGGCGCCCAGAGCGAGGTGAAACTTTGACGTCAAAATTTCCGGATTGAAAACGCTTAAACCAAATTTGTGCTTGAGAGTAGCAGACACTGCACTAGGTCCATAAATATCACAAATTTTTTTCGCGGCTTGTGTTACCTTTTTTGCATTAAAATTTTAAAATGTATCGAATTTCTTCATTAGAATCACTCATCTTAGCAGTAAGAAAAACAAGTGAAAATCACACATTTTCCTAATTTAGAATTATCTTTTTTTAAATTTAAACTTTTTAATGATACCATAAGCATCCGGATACAAATGGTATAGCCAAAGAGATTATATTATAAGTACATACATACTATTTGCGAAAAGAGTTTTTTCCTAACCTAATAAAAATCTTAGAGATGTATATGATGATTATACGAGTATACATCGAAAAATAAAAATTATATCACTAGAAAAGTGTTTGGTCTATTTATTAATATTCATATAATTTCAGTATTATCTAAACATTAAGCTGGCCTTCTTTTTACACCCGAATGTCAGTCTCTGAAATTAACACTATTAAATTAAGCACGATTTATAGCGAACAGACATTTAAGTTTACGAGTCGTTTTTCCTTGATATTCTGCTACTGCATGTGTTTACGTGATCAATTTTGAAATGGATTATTAGAAAAATTCCAAAAGTGTTTGATATTGTTCAATTTCTACTTGGAATCAAAGTAATGTTACAGAGAGTAATGACGGTGCAGTCTTAACGTTGAAAAAACAGTAAAACTCAATCCAAATTCAATCAGTATCAACTAATTAAGTCTTAGTTACAAATAATTATAGATAATAAATATTAAAATGTATTATATATTGTAGTAATAATGGCTAATATCATACCTGTTCGTCATTATAAAATAAAATTCGTTTTATACTTCTCGAATCTCTGTTTCACCGCACTACTGTAAAATACAATTTCCGCAGCATTTTATGAAAACGATTGATTTATTCGCCGTTTCTTTTTGTCTTAACCATCGTCGTAGATTAATTTTGTATGCAAAGAAAATTTTGGGAAAAATGTATCTTATGATATTTCAACTTTCGGTTCTTTTTAATATTAGAAATTGTTGAAAAAAGTCCATTGGCAAGTTTTGTTTTCTAGAATAATAGATACAAAAATAATTAAGAAGAAAATATCAAATATGTAAATGAAAAGTAGCTAAAATAGCGAGGACTTCGTATTGAACATAAAGTAGTATTAGAAAGAGCCAAAGTTTACAAAACCTACATGGAAGAAAATTATGTAGAAGAGATATCTTAATTTATTACTAAAGAATAGGTTTTGAAAGTATTTTAAAACTGTAAATTGTATAATAATTCATTTCAAAACAAGAAAAATCTCTGCTATAATTTTAACAAAACATCCCTATAGTTTCTATAGAAACATTATAGAACAACAAATATATTAAAATTTGTAGAAAAAGTACGCAAAGTTTGTCGCCGCTGTGAGGATTGAACCCCCGTCTTCGGCATTCGCGGCCCGACGCTTTAGTCACTAAGCTAAACAGTTGTTTATATCCTTGTTCCAGCATACAAACAATTTCGAATATCGTTTTACAAAGATAATTCGAACGAGAGAATGGCGATCCATTGCTTTTTAGAATTTTTTTCTACAAATTTTAATTTTCTATCTTAATTGCAGATTAGCACTATAAAAATTTTAATTTCTAAAAAACAACAAATTTATATATTTTACTTTTTACACAGATTAAACGATTTAGCGATTTCACTTTTTTTTTTTCGCTAATGCATGAACGGGTGGTCCATTCAGTGAAGTACCGCCCCAAAGAAGAGGGGTGTGGAAGTCAGTGTTATACTTCTGCGTGTTGTCTGGTGAATAAGGTAACTGGGATCCACTTTATTGAAAGGTTATGCATTTGTAAAACTATGAGTGTTGTAAATGTCCATGGCCGCCGGTTATCACATAAAACACAACATTAAAAAAATATAAACGGCATGTAAATGATTTTCAGAGAGCTGATTTAGACACAAAACGGGACGAAATAAAGGTTAGACCCCCAGCGGTCAATAACTACGACATAATAAGCGGTGTGTTAACATGCCCGACATACGGCAGAACTTATGATGCCAGACATTGGGTTCACCTGTCATTAACGAGAACACCGTCATCGAGTCGATTAGCTAATGTCAACTAATTAAGTCAGGATAACAGTCACTGAAACCGAAGTTAGACAAGGAAAACTACATCAAAACTAGCACATCTAGTATTTTTATTGTAGCTAATTGACCGACAAAATCTTATTTACACATTTGTACACGCTAAGATATTAAATATTCTTGAGAGCTAGAGATAAATTTATAGCTCCGAGTAATATAACAGAATTGCACATAAAATAAAGCTTAAAGGATTTCCTTTATTGCACTTGGAGATGTAAAAGAATTAAAAAAATCCGTTGGGTGAGATAAATTTATTATCATCAGACATGACTAACTAGCCTTCGCCGACGGTTTTGTATGCGTAAGTATCGGAAAGAAATGCAAACAAACTGCAAAAATTTATTGCGAGTTTAAGGAGAGATCCTCCTAAAATTGACACGCATAAAATGGTGGTTTCTTTCATCTAAAGGTGGACTATTGAACAGTCAATATTTTTTTATTTCTTTCGGAGTCCCGAATCTTGTATAATATTTTCCAACTGTCATTGTTCTGATGAAATTCTCAGTATGACTTGAAATCTTAAATAGTGAGTAATAACTACGTATGTAAGGGTCAAATATTACCTACGGCCTCTTAGAAGACCGACGTAAAATTGAAATATTTTATGTAATGGCACCAGCAGCAGCCGTAGGAAAGCAGACCCTGGCAATTGCTGGAATAAATGCTAGGTAGAAGAAGAGGTAGGTACAGTAGAGGTCTTTACGGAGCGGTCAATATATCGGACAAATTAGTTCGTTTACAATGAAAGCTATGAATCATATGGCTTATTTCACTTTTTAATGTGTTTTTGTTTGTGTCTGTCCGATTGATTGACATGAAACCTCCTATTTCCTATATATTTATTATTTATTATTTATATAATTATTTATTCAAAAAATATAATGTTCGTTTATATAACTAATCATATGACAAACTTCAAAAATTGTAATAGCAACTGCTATGTATAAGAAAACTATAAGCAAAATAAAAAAAATTATAATTTGAATCGGCCGTCCTGAAGAATCACAATTTTGCAGATGTCACGTTGTTCTACGCAGGGTGCGAATTGTAGGCACTATATTATCACAATAACAAATAATTCGTGAGGAGTAGTACGTATATTCGAATTTCGATTTTTATTCTATAAAATTTTCCTTATAATATATTAAAGTTTGTTCAAGAGTAACTTTCCTTTAGGCCCCCCAACAATTTCGCCTTCGGTGTAAACTAACTGCCCACGGACGTAAGTTTTCCTCACAACACCCTTCAATGTTTTTCCAATATAGGGTGTGAGCTGAAACAAATAATGATTTACAGAATTAGAAGTTATCACACTTTTCGTATTTTAAACTTAACAACATTTCTTTTGTATTGCATGAATATTTTTTAAGTTAAACTTCTTTAGACGCGTTATGAAAAAATGATGCGAACGAAATTATAAGAAGGCGCGCAACACTGTAACACAAAAGTCACACCCTTGAAACTGCCCGCTAAACCGCTTATTATAGATGGCAGCATATTCTCAATCACATTCGTCCGTTACAGTTCTCAATAACGAATGTAGATGGCGCTTTCATTATTTTATTATTTATATCCTTATCCAGTCCTTTTATTATTTAATGTTAATTAATTATTGAATGATGACTTCTCACGCGCGTACATAAGCACACGCACCCATTTTTTTATGACACTAAGTGTATATGTGATTTGAATTCGAAAAGTGGTCTTAATCTAGCTTTAATAGATACGCATACGCTACTAAACATTATATGATATTTTGTTTTTGTGCCTTTTTAAATACCTTCAATAGTTTAATAATTACTCTTTAGTACATGACCCAAAAATGATATTAGCAGTGGAAAACAAACACCGTCAAATAATATTTATATAATGTTTCGTAATTATAATGTTAATTGAACGAAAGTAGCATTTAACTAGTATTAGCGTACCTCTTAACTTAGACACGGTCTTTTTGTACAACCGATAAAGCTTTGTTCTGAGTTTACCTTATAACTGAAAACATTATCCAACAAACATAAAAAGACGAAATTAATTAAAAAAATATTTAAACTGTTAAAATATTCCCCATATGTTCATTATACAGTTCTTTTGTTACAACTTACCTTGTTCTTATGTCGTATAATGTCGGCAGTAACCGTAAATTCGGCGTCGGGGTCGAAGAAAACGATATCAGCATCGAGGCCGGGTTTAAGAGCGCCTTTACGATCTTCTATTCCGCAAAGTTGTGCTGGGGCCGCACACATGTATTTGCAGATTGATGTCAGGTCCAGCCCGCGTGCTCTCGCTTCGGTCCAGAATAAAGATAAACCTACCAGCGAAATCATTTTTGTATTTAGAGTTGACTTGCAACCAATATCTGTTCAGCCACACAAAAAAATTTAAAATAAATTCTTCCGATAAAAGTATTTGACCGGGACGCGGTGGCATAACTTGTATAGATATAGCCCTTTTGTTCAAATTTACTGACTATCCTCCTGTCTCGAGCCCCTAATTGATATTTTAAATTATACACATATGTAAACACAGTTTATCATACACTCTAGGTGTTGTTTTGTATAAAAGCAAAATGATATAAGGTCCATCTAATAATATAGAATTATGGTAATTTAACTCTTAAAAGGATTCGTATATACTTACGTACATACTTGAAAAAAGTAAAGCACTATATAAAAATTTAGAAATGTTAGTCTTTCTGCGCTATAATCTTTCACTTCTAAATTTTAATTACGATAAGACAAGTGCATCAATACTTATTTCGTGGATTTTTTGTTAATTTTTATAACACTTAAGATGACTTATAAATATTTTAATGATTAAAAAATATTTGTAATAAAAAGAAACAATATTTTAATTTTACCATTTGAGGTAAGTAGGCAATAACAGAATAGGGAGGATATCGAATAATAGCCTAATATTCGGTTTTTGGTAAATTTGGAAAATTTTGATCAATACTCATGGATTTTGTTATTATTTTATATAGTAAACCGAAAATTTAGCGTAAATTCGTTTTTTTGGCCTGAGGTAAATTTTTGTGGTTAATTTAAATGAATATCAATATAAAGCCTATATTATATATATAAAGCCCATTTATATCATATCATTTTGAGGTGGTAGGGCCACGCAGCAGCCTCGGCTATTGCACGAATGGGCAGGCCCGTCCGGGTAAGTACCACGACCTCATAGAAGACCAGCGTAAAGTGGAAGTATGACAAATACTTTCGCGTTTCGTCTGGTGAGTGAGGTAGCCGGAGCCCAATTTTCAAAAGGTTGTCAACGCATCTGTAACCTTCGGATGTGGCAGATGTCCATGGGCGGCGGTTTTCACTTAACATCAGGTGAACCGTCTGCTCGTTTGACAACTTTTCGCATAAAATAAAATAAAATATATACATATATGTGAAACCATGAGTTACCGAACTGCACTGATGAAATACCGCCCCAAGCTTCTAAATTGTTTGAGCATTTAAGCTCCGGAGTGCAGGGCGAATGATCAGATACAACCATGTCCAATTTGTCTTCCAGTAGATACTTCCACAGATTTTCCTGTAAAAAAATGTAATTTGCGTTACATTTGAATTTGTTAAATACACAAGAATATTTAAGGACTAAAAATATTCTTGTGTACGTTAATAACAATGACAATAATATTTTTTTAAGTATTAAAAGTACCAAGCGAGTGCTTTTGTATATAGTTCAAACGCACGATCTGAGAATGTTTGATCATCTCGTCTTTTCATCGCAATGACTAGTAATATACATTAATAATATAGATGAAAAGAATACATTAATGAAAGATCGAGTGATAAGAGTTAATTAACGTAAATACAAAAAATCCATGAGCCGTGTGTCCGGGCGCTCGCGTTTAATTCAATATACGCGAGCGACCTGAGTTCGATTCCCGATGGCGGCACCAATGAAATTGTTAATTTTAAGTGTACAGGCTGTCTTACTTTACTTTTTCAAAGACCCATGATGTAAGTACAACCTTATTGTCCATATCCCTGATGGGAGGAGCACACTTATATTCACTCCGGCCCCGGGGTATTTGCTCAGCGCTGAGCGATAAGTAATGGTGGCAAGTTTCCGCTGTGACACCGCCACGCCAGGCCGTGTTGCTAGCAGTGATCCTCTTCTGCCGCGCCTCATTCAGCAGGGGCACGACGGTAGCCGATGACACGTGTACAACGTGAACTCGGACGCTTCAAAATAAAAGATAAATATAAATATGGAATAAAGGATGTTATTTTTTGTCTGACAAATAACACGACCCCATTTGCCCATAAAAGGCCACTGTGCCTTATTAATAACTACATCTTGTCACAGCATTAATCTTTAACCTTCATTTCGCAACTCACTCCTATCGATAAATTTTGTTTAGGTATATGCTAGCAATAAAATTCGTTTAATATTTTTGTTTTTCTCCTTTTTGGACATTGTCGTTACTATAGGATAACATTAGCCAGTGTTCTGGATTATTCAAAACTATCAATCAAAACTATTATTTTTAAGTTTGTCTCCATTGCTTATCATATTTACGTCAACTGTACCATCAATTTGCTTGCTTTGTGTCTCTTTTTTCAGACAACATCACTCACCATAGAGTAGCGATGGATGATAGCACAACATATAGTTTACGCCTAGTAAAGACCGGCAGTATCAACAATAAATGAACATTTAAACAAAATAAAAAGTTATTAAGTGGAGCTTCTCAAATGTTTTCGCTTCGTGGTGTTTGTAGCTCCATCCACAATTTGTTATTCTTTTAAGGACTGACATACGTAGGAACTTACTCAGTTTTATTCAAAAAGCTTGAAATTAATGATATAGCATTCAGTTCCATCTTCGGAGGTCTTGATTCTAGATAAGTGCTGTATTCCTCAGGATCTGCGAAATTTATAATTGTTGTTAAATTTAAAATGTTACTCCAAAAGAATAATTAGATTCACGAAGCTTTATTTAGGTCCCACCAACCCTAAGATATAGCAAAAATTGTGTTTATTTGTTAAGTTTATTAATCAAATTCGTTTTATGGATATTGCAATAAATTAGGAAGCATATAAATTAGTTTTATAGCATTCAAACCGACCGAGTTTGTATAGCTATTAATTCTACACCGAATGTGTAATATTAAGGTAATAAAAATGTATTATTTTGAATTTACTGACCTTTACTACCTACTATAAAGAAGGTCCTCCCTCTATAGCATTATTAATGCTTATTAAATTAAAGTCATTAAATACCTTTTTTCAATATTTTTTTGCTGCTTTCGTTGATTTCGTCCTCGACCTCAGCATGAAACTGTGGATTCAATATGGTATTAATAGTAAACTGATAATTTAAATAGTCCTTACAATAATTGTTTTAAATTTGCAATGGGTAGTTATTGTGTATTAAGATAATAATTTTTTAAAGTAAAGTTATGATTTAAATTTTTACCAAGAATAACATCGGTTTGGGCTTTTGTAACTTTTCAAACAAGTAATATTTCACTCATACTCTTTTAAATAAACTATTTTTATATAGTATTCGCTGAAATAACATTAGACTTTCTTCATATCCTTACCACGGACCGGTACCTTACAACATTATTTGAAATTATTCAGTGAATGGATAGAGAACTACTCAATGGAGTCTCATTTCATACTGGTTTATAAGAAATTACATAGAGGTGAAGGTAATAAAAACGCGTTAATCCTACACCGTTCGGTTTCCATCGTGTAACTACTAATGCGAGTACTTTATTAGATTACGATTTTTGGTGAAGAATTTCTTACCGCTAACAAGGATCCAGTTCCTTCGAGAGCAGCGAAAGCCTTTTCGAGGTCCTCAGCTTGTACATTAGGAAACTCATCAACTCCACTCGGACATAGGAAGCATTTAAATCCAACAACACCAGCCTTCACTAGATCTCGAAGTGAGTCCTGTAATAATGTAGCGGTGCCACCTATATTTCTTTTTACTTTTTTTTTACTGAACCGAACTAAAACCCCCTAAAATTTGCAAACTTTGGTAATTGATTAATTATTCTTAAAAATTTCTATAACAGACAGCAGAGATAACCAAAAAATTATAACACGATAAGCCTTAGTTATCTTAGATAGCCTTAATTCATCTGAAATAATGTACCTTTTAAATGCTGACATCATTTTCAAAGGATAATAAAACTGTCCAAAATTGCACTCTTCTTTATTACATCAAGTATTTTTATGTGAATATTTGGCAAACTAGTAAGTGTTTCACGTTACCTTACCTGTATACCGCCGCCCAAGAAAATCTGCAATAATAATAGTGTTGCAGATACGTCGCCAATCTTTAAAACAGTGGCAGTGGCTACATCGCTCACCAGACGAACCGCAAAAGTATAAAACTTCTACTTCGCGGTTGCCATCTTCATCATGATATTTCCCTGGACGAATCTGCCCATTGGTGCAAAAGTGGAAGCCTTTACGTGGCCCTACCTCAGAGACAGTACGAAATGAAGGCAGTTTAGTATGAGATCGTTGTAACATTCATGCAACATTGACGAATTTAGAACTTAATATACTTTGAGTTAGTAAATAAAATTTATTTAAAACTTAATCTACAAACTGATTGTACCTGGTTGCCCACTATGACGCCACCCCAGAAACCAACATCGACGAAGACGTTTCCCTCAGCTGAAGAAGCCTTTATCTTAAGATTTTCTAACGTGGTTGTTGGTGGGATGGAATTTCTGAAATTATCACAAATGGAAAACGTAATATGTAAGAGTTACTTTAAAAAGACCACCTTTCCAGAACAGCAATCACCGAATCTCCGTACACACCATGGATACCGGGAAAAATACTCTTAATACTCGCCAGCAAGGCGTCATACTCGCAACTAATTCTGTAATGGTTACTAGTTCATCATCATCATCATCATCATCCTCCTGCCTTTATTCCACCTAGACGGGGTCAGCACAACATGCGAATCATGTTCTAAGTGATTTTGGCTATGATTTTTACGACCGGCCACCTGCCTGACGTCAAAACTCGTTGGGGAAGTAAACACTCAGATCCGGATCTTAAATTATCTGTGGGCTCACAAATACGTGTCCTGTGTGGGAATCGAATCCACGAACCCCAATGCTGAAATCAATAGCTTACAAACGGTGCAACAGAGACATTTACCACCAATAACATGTTGATGTTGATACATGTTGTTTGTTAATTAAATTCCGTAGCTGCCCTATTTTATATAATTGTGTGTGTGTGTGTTCGTGCGTGCATGCGTGCCTACGTGCGTGCGTGCGCGTGTGTGTGTGTGTTGCGCCACCTTTTAATAAAGAGGATCCCGGTTACCTCACTCAACAGACGAAACGGAGAAGTAACACTTCCATTTCAAGCCAGTCTTCTGTGAGATCCTGGTACTTCCCCGGACGGATAGACATTATCGATTTAAGTATTATGAAGAATTTTTATCATAATTAATGTTCCAATAAATTTTCAAGTTATATTAATTACATCAATAAATATCTTAGAGTACCAACTTCAACGGAAGTTACGCTTTCAGTTCGAAAATTATACTCTACATCATTTCTACTAATACTACTCTACTTGTCTCTACAATTTGTTGTAGGTTTGCAGGCAAAGAGAGTCTGTTTCTCTTACTCAAAAACTCGCATCATATCGCGGGTGTTAGGAGAGTTAAATAACGTGTTATTTTGTCAGTATTTTTAAATAACAGTAATAGTAATTTGTTAGCAAAACTGTTACAAGTTGTACTGAACCCGTGGGAAAGCTAATTTAAAGCTACATGTACCAACGTGCAAGATCGAAATCGTTTTATCCTTACAGTGGCATGTCGACTATAGTAGTGATGCCTCCAGCTGCCGCCGCACTGGTTGCGGTTTGGAACCCTTCCCATGCAGTGCGGCCAGGCTCGTTTACATGGACATGGGAATCAACTACACCTGCCATCAACGCAAGACCCCCACCATCCACCACCTGTATGCGAAAACTAAACCATTAGCGGCTTACATTTTACAACACTATTTTAGTGACAAATATGTCAGCCGTTCACGCAGGGCATTAACAGATCAGACAGACGCTAATGACGCTTTTTAGTTATTATGAACTTTCTACGTAAGAATAAAGCCCATCCGAACCCTAACTTAACCTAATTTGGGACTAATGGAATGTACTAATGCCACGCTGCAGCTTATGCTGTTTCATGAATGCGCAATTTATGCTTTTCGTCAGATAATTGGAGCCCACACTCTTAACCTCGTCCTCGTCCATCCCATGTCCAAGGGAGACGATAATCACTTAGCATATAGCGAACCGCCTGCGCATCCGACGTTCTTTGATAAAAATGATATCACAAGCAAGCAACAAGTCAAGATTCATCTATTAATAAACATACAAATTTTAAATAAACAGAAACAATACTTTCTTGCTTTTTAGTTGTATATCAATAGCTTTCATATTTAGAGACTCCCGACTTCTAAATTCAAAAATACTTCCAAAATACTGCCGTTTGTTGTGGATCGATCGTGGAATATCTGGTACATAACGCTATGAAATAAACAATATTCTCAATGGAACACAATAAAAACGGTATATACATCACGATTTGGAGTAATTGACATGCGATTAAATTCACAAAGGTCCTGTCATTCAAATAATAATTTGGAAACCTAAACTCGTGGTTTATTCGCATATAATTTGCATTCTTCCCGATATCAAACATAAATAAGACATAAAAAGACTTAACATTTGTCTTTAAAGAATTTTGAGTTCGATGATCTATTTATGGTAAACTGGTTCTGGATTCATTATATTAGCGTGCTTAACGCACACCAAATTTTAAAATAAGATTATCATTGGACATTTTACTTGGAAACATAATATAAAAAGCATTGCTCATGTCTTGCTACGCTTTACTAACATTTCAACAATAGCCGCCAGTAGAACATTTGTTGTATGTGTTCATATTTAAATCTTTACATATAAATACGAATGTGTGGACGTACAACGCTGTAAACCGCTCGACGGATTGCTCTGTTACAAGAACTGGAAACGAACTACGAAAAACTTTTGACATTGATAAAATGATACCTTTACCCACCAAACAATTTTTGTCCAAAATGCGACAGAAATCAATAAAACGTGAAAATATGTTCTCGCTATATCTGTTTCGTTCGTTCTTTCTTTTTTCCATGTTAATTCAATGGCCGCAATTTAACACTCATTTTCGAGTCACTTAATAATCTGGCATTTTTCAATGTCTTGTTTATCAATAATAATGTCATGTTTATCACCAATGTTTATGAAAATATACCCTTCAAGTAAAGATATGTTAACATGCAATAGGCATGTCAGGATGCTCAACAATATGATCAAATACACAGTTTATAAAAAAAGGAGGCTATTTACCCAATAAACAGGTTTATTATAAAAAGCAAATGGTGGTACCATTTTGTTGTACTCAAATATTCAGAGCGATAAGAAGTCTATCGCATATAGGTATACGCGTGGCGTGGGCTATTGTTCGACGCTAAATTCTTTATTTATAGTTATTCATTATACACATGTTTAAAACTGGCACGACCGACGGCCGCTGGCTGTTGAATTGGAGAAGCGCAATTGAGCCGAGTCCAACTCGAATATCGCACACAAGCGTAGCGATTGGACTTTTTAAACGGAATTTTCATACTTCTTTTTTAATGGCTTTAATATCATAATCCCATAGAGCTAAGATTTAGTACTAATAAATATGTATAAGCCAGGTAAGCAGTTCTGAACAAATTAAAGCGATTAAAAAGTACCTAAATAGTTTTACATGTCATCAGTATGAGTTACGGTTTGTCAATCTCTACACGAACGTCAGTACTACAAAAACTATATTATACAATATTCGAAGCAGATATAAGATAACAATGGAAATCATTTTCAAAATACTAATTGTGAAACAGTTCAAATGTAGGCAACTAAGTAAAATAGCAGTACTGTAAGGTCTCCATCGCTCTCTGCGATAAGAGTATTCGCTTGCTCCCGGTTTAAAGTTCGCTCTATGAGACCGTTCTCGTTCACCAGCACGCCGCCGTCTGCCACACCCGCCTCGGTTACGACTCGTTTACTCAAAAATAATTGCCGGCCCACTGACGCCATCTCACTCGCGCACACAACTACACGAACTGGAGTACTAGATACAACTACGGGCGATGATAACGACGCTCCGTGGCGCCGGTATTGATCTCGAAAGGCTCCAATTATGATTATCTTCGTTGTAAAAAATAAACATAAGTAATTTTTCCATGTTTCTCTCAAATTCCAACGTTTAGTTTAATGTTTGATATTTGAAATAAATTTTGTTACTGATCTGGTATCATCGATCCACGATTACATCAATAATTAAAATCATCTAGAAATGAAGTCAGGATCGAGCCTGAGCATCACAAAATATCAATAGATTTCATCGAGATCTTCCATTTTTAGATTTCCTTTTAAATTGGAGGGCGTATGAGCCAGCATTTAACTGCTTTGGTTTTTATGAAGTAAAGCAACGTGTAGCATCACTTCAAATTTAACTAACATTCATCTTGACCGCCCTATTGCTACAGACGTTCCTCGTGAGAGCTTACTTGATTAGCAATTTGTTCCACAGGACGGAATCTCTAATTTGGAATGCTCTATAACAAAATTTATATGCGCTTCGCGAGTGCTTTGGCGCCATTTCTTTTATTCATCATCAGGGTCTTTTTAATTTATTGCTGCTATAAATAGAGTACGTTACCAAGAAGTAACTTGGTAACATTCTTCGTAACATAAACTTATTTATTTTATGTTGCATGAGACAGCCATCTTTTATTAGATATTCTACAGGATAATAGGAAATGATGTATAAAAGTCACTATAAGACATTATATACACCATTCCCATATCAGTTGGGCGATAATAAGCACGTGATCAAATACAAGATAAACTATTAAAATTTATCTCGGGTTTTTATCATAAACCGCGGAGTAAACTGCCGAGATAAATAATTTTCCTAAGAAAGAACGAAAGGCGCTAGAACATATAAGTACATTCAACAAAATTCTCTTTTAGATCCATGAGTTCAAATATTTTTAATAAATATATTAAGTAACTTAAAACACGATAGTCATGGCACAAGTTTAAATAAGGAATTTCCTTTTAGGTAAAAGATTATTGTGACAAATTCTAATTGTTCATTTTTGAATTGCATACGGTGAACCCTTATTAGAAACAAAAGTAACAGATCAGTCAAGCTGTATTAAGTTACTTTTTTTAATAACATGGCATAGCTAGTTGTGGGCGGCGGCTTGCGTCACAGTATAACCAGCTGTGCTTTCATAAATCGATACTTGGACGTCTGAAGTTTAAAATATTATGAAAGGCAAATAATTCAATAATATTCCCAAAATCATGACTGTCAAGGAATCTTTACAGTAGGTTAACAAGCTTAGTACTAGGTATTTAAATTAAGTTCATAATTAATCACGATTCCAAACAATATATAATTTTAAATTTTAATATTTTAAATTTTAGGACGACAAGGAATTTGCGCCGACAATATAACGAGACAAATTTAAAATGACGTATGATTAAAAAAATAATTAAAGTACGTGCATAACATGAGAGAAGCCGGTGCGGTGAGCATACGGATTAACCAAGAAATTACTCACGAGCTACGACGTTATTTAAAGAGTATTTATAGCCATTCCCGGCAGGTCCATGTCCATGAAAAGGAGTAAATTAACCGTAAATAAGTGGAGATAACTTTCTGTGGCATTATTAATATCTCAAGATTATGGAAATATAGTACCGCTATAAATTTTATGTAAAACGCCCTATACCAAGCTCCTATCAGACATATTTATTATCAAAACCCAATGGAAACATCAACATGTTCAATTATGCATTGCTAAACAAAGACATCTACATAAAGAAACTATGAGCGAACAAATAAAAAAACGTAATCCTTATATCCGTATTCTTGGTTGTACAAGACCTACTAGAAATCGTGTGCTCATTGCCTCTTCAGCTATACAGGGAGATTTTTTGAGAAGTGCCCAAATTTACACAGGAGGTTCAGACTCGCTAGTATAATCGTTCATTGAAATAAAAAACAAAGGTTTTTTTTCCAAAAAAAAAAAATGCCATTCTATTCCCTAAAGAACAGAACGTGTTGACAATGCGGTAGTCATTCATAAATATCTAAATTTTACTGTGCACGAACTTGTGTGCGTGTTAGTTGTGAATGATCGCGCGTAAAATAAATGAGTTGCGTATAAATCACGCACTTTTTGAGATAAGTTCAAATCAATGTAATCAATTACTGAATGTAATACACGAGTGATTTTAAATACATATCATTTTTATATAACAATATTTATGTCTAGAATTTAAAAAAATTATGGATACACTTAGAAAAACCAGCCTGTATAATTATTAAGGACACTTATTGCTCGAAGTCGCGCTTAAGAATATTTGCTGCAAATGCATTTAATTTGATTAACAATTCTACTTTAGAAGTTAAACTCTTGTGCTTATGATTAGTTTATTAAACTGTATTCGATTTTAACAATAATAATCTATTTGCCAGTGATCACGCCGTTCTTTGATACTCTACCTACAGGTTGACGAATCGCCTAATAAATGCCAACGTTTCACCTTGAACTTCGGTTGAAGCACGCGGGATACACCTGGTCGATACCCCCTTTACTACAAACGAGCACAGCATTCAATGCCTCTAAAGACCTAGTTAAAGTAAACACACATCGGACCGGTTCCATCTTGCACGTCCTCGAAGGGCAAAACAGCCTAGAATTGCCTTCAACTTGAACTAATTCCATTGAACCCTCACGTTCTCCGTCCTTCGTGCAGGAAGTGAGTCAATTTGACTGCAAATATCTACTATTAAGCTTATGTTTATTAATATTTAATTTATTTATTATACAAAATAAATAGATTTATTTTAAATAATCATCATAATTTTTTTAAAAAGGCTTTTCCCACAAGGTGATAAACCTCTAAATCTCCTTTTCAGGAGGATTTTACGGATTATACGAGATACGATTTTATATTATACCTTTCAGGATTTTACGAGTTCTAATCTTTATAACCTATAATAAATATATTTATTATAACAAAATCAATATCAATTAAAATATTTAATGAAATTTGATATAAACAAACAATAACTAGACATTTTTAAAATATTTGATGTTGGTACTGGTATCATTGGTCGTATGGTTGTGGCAGTGGCGGTAGTTATCGCAGGACTAGGTAGCGCAGTGCTCCAGGGCCCCGAAGCTCATAGGGCCCCCTAAGCCTTGAAAAGAAAAAAGGAACCAACTCCCGAATCTAATAAACATTGAGGATGTTCAAAAGAATTTTACTTTATGATGTTAAATGAACATTAACAATAACAGAACTTTTAATTTAAGACTTTCAACACATGCGCCAAGCGTCTTTGATAAGCATGTGTTATTTTTTACCGTTATTTGATTCAGTACGTTTGTAGCGCATTGGATACGCGATAAGCTCATGTATGGTCATGGGATCAATTCCACCCATCAACTTTTTAGTTAGGTTTTCATTTGCCTTTACTTGCATGTGATCTTATCTATGAATGATATTCATTGCAATGTATAGAACTCTTTGGGACAGACGATAATATTTAATGCAATATTCGAATAACAACATAGGCTACAGTTTATAAATATTTTGAGTAATGCCTTCTGAGAGCTATCTTGGCGTGGGCTGCAACAAGGTTCTAAACCGTTGGAGCTACACAAAGATATTTTATCGTGGAATTATTTGTCTTGAAGTTGAGTTCTTAATAAAAGTCCACGATAGCATATATGTGGTAGAGCCACGCAACAGTTTACTGTTGCACGAATGGGCAAGTATGTCCGGGGAAGTACCTATCACGACCACACAGAAGACCGGCGTGAAGTGAACTAGTGAAGTTATACTTCTGCGTTTGGTATGGTCTGGATCCGGGACCCACTTTATTAGAAGATGGCAACGCATTTGCAACCCTGCGGATGTTACAAATGTCCATAGGCGGCGGATATTACGATCAGGTGAACCACCAGCTCGCTTGCCTCCTTCTCTCATAAAAAAATATCTTAAGCGTGGAATGAAATATATAGTGCTCGGGTATTCGGGACTGCAGAGATTTATCAAATATAAGTAAGCAACATAGTTTCTCAAAAGCCTATACGGAGGCATGTCATGTATAAGAAGCGTGCCAAAAAGTTCGACCATTGACAAGAAACTTGAAGATGAAATTCGCAAAGAAGCTTCACTTTGGAGAAAAGTTTTTCGGAGCTTATTCGACATCATAATTACTCTTGCGTAGAGTTCTTTTGCTCTGATAGGACATCGAGACGATCTGAGTGAGAGAAGAAACCACGGAAATTTTCTTTCAATTGTGCAACTCATTCCTAGATACGATCACATCTTGCGTCAAGTTTTTGAGATGCCTAAAGGCATCTTTCCACAGTAAGTAATAAACTTATTTGCAAAATTAATAATGTATGTTTTTTCAAATTCAAAATCTCAATCAAATCTTCAATCAAATTTTCCTTGTTTTAATATTTTTATACAATATTATATATGTATGTTATGTCATTGCTTTTAACATTAATTGCCATAGTACATTTTACAAGGCGGCGTGAAACTTGAATTTGAGTGGAGTTATAGAAAAATTTGCAAAAAATAAAGTCATTGCGATTTTGACTGGGAATTTTTGAAAGTTTTTCGCGTCTGCGGGAATCGAATAGACGTCTTCCAGATTTTTTTTCTCTACAAATTAATGTCTCACCTGTATGATAAACATTTCATATTGTCATGTAATCGTTGTTTATTTTTCTACATCAAACACATACTTACACAAACTTATCCCTACTTATATGTTTCAGGGTCAATCGCTCCATATAAATTCAAGAAAGAGGGATTGGGAGGGCCGCTTTTTTCTCTATGCACCATGGCCCTTGTCCACCTAGCTACGCCACTGGGTTATGATAAGATAAAAATCATCAGGTTGTGTGGAAAATACTTAGCAATAAACCCGTGTCGTCTTCTTTTTAAATATTTTTACAAAAAGTACATAAAGTCTGTCCATATTTTCAAAACTTACAATTATTCAATAGTAGAGTAATATAGTGATAATAAACAACTAATTAGTTTTAGATCAACTTATTCATCGGGGATTTAACATCATTAATGCCTCTCAAATTTCTTGTTAATTCCTCTCAAATTAGCCAATTAACGATCTAAGATACTAATGTTCTCATGACTATATTATTTTAGTAAGAATATTAAAAGAAATATTTTAAATTTCGGTCCTTGCAAAAGTTTATTTATTTATTTATGTATTTATTGTACACAAAATATAGGAAAAAAATATTTAAAACCTAAGTAATGTACAAAAGGTAAGCTTAACTCAATGCATAAGTTCTCTGCCAGGTAGCCTGGTGAGAAAAATAAGTGATTGAAGGTAACTGGAAATGTGTTTAGTGCACAGAGATATTTCTTTAACATACCATACATAATATATATATCAATATAAAGACATAAATATATCTTTAAACATATATACATAATACGTAACATACACTTAATATATATTAAATAAAGATTTAAAACAAGATATATAACTACGAGAAGAAAAATACTTTATGTGGATAAATAACTAAGTTTTATTAACTATATCTAATAAGTTTTGTAGAAAAACTTTAAATTAAATAATTTTTTGATAATGGCGACTTGGCAATGTACTATTGCTGCAAAAAAAATGTACTATCACTGCTTTTTATGAGTTTAAATAGTGAAAACAAGAGCTGCCACTGAAACATTGACTCAAGATGTTAGAAGAGACTAGAACGCTGTCAAATGCTCTTTAATTGACACTTCAAGGATAAATCAGACGACAGTGAAGAAGGCCACTTGCTCCAGTAACTCCTACATTCCTAATTGATTATACATTGTTTTCGTCGATGTGACCTATTAAAACTGGTTCTCTGGGTAGGAATGTAAAGCAAAACTACAAAGTACTAGTGTAATAACTTAATGGTTTTTTGTACGACGCAGATGAGCTTTACCATATTGTGCTTCTGAAGATTAAGTTATCGCTAAAATGAAATTAAAGTTAACATTATTTTTGCTTTATTGGAAAGAAGTTCCTTATCGCGCGTTGTGAAAGGGGGCTAGACGGAAAAAATTCTCACGAAAAGTTGTAACGACACTTTTTGCTATAGTAACCTATCGTAAGCTGTGCGGCGTGCGCATGTTTCTCTGTCTGTTGTTTGTCTGTTGACAGACAAACATGACAGTTTCTAGAGGAAGAATTTGATTTAAGAATTAACAATAATCCAGCAGAATCAACAACAAAATATAATACTAGCATTGATGCAGTTTTTGCAAGACATTTAAATAAAATAGAATCCCAAACATATGTTTCCTACTTCAGTTACCACAAGCGAATTATTACTAAAATTGAGCCTTCTGATTAAGTTTATATTACATTATATTTGTTAATAATAAAAAAAATATTATTATAACTTAAAAAATATAAAATTTTATTACAATTCCTTCACTAATTAATCGAAAGGAACTTCGTTCCATCCGGGTGTGCCTTGACACCTCTCAATGTTTTTTTTATATTGATTCAGTTTATCGGATCATCTTTGATATCAAAAACTTGAAAAATTTCAACATGAGAGTGGCGCCATTGTGTTTTTTTTAATAAAGGTGGCGCCAGTGATTAACTTTGAGTGGCACTCCTTATTACAGGTTCAAATGTTCACTAATTCATTAAGAAACGATCCATCAAATGTCAACCAGGCGCGCAAATGATAAATAAAAAAAAATGTTATTCAAATTACCCGGATTAACAATATGTTTAAATAAAAATTAAGACAGGATAGTTAACGAGCGATTTGTATTCTATCAATTGTTATGAGGAATGTCTTATCTAAAACTTCTACTACTCATTCTTAATAGCGACTATAGGTTCGAAAAAAGAAGTAACTTTTGAAGAAGAACTTTTTTGCTAACTTCCGTTAAAGACATAAGCTAAGAATTCATACATAACACTAACAATTCTATGAATACACGATACCATATGTATCCGAACATGTTGCAAAAAGGGCATTATGAATTTTCGTAATCTTGAAAAAGTTTTAAAGTTAAGTTAGGTCAGTTAAACACAGGCAATTTTTTATTCCTAAGTTTTTTTCCCATTCGTATAAAGAAATTATTTTTTTTTATTTTATTATATTATAATTTATTTTATTTACACATGGAAATTTCAAAAATATTTCGAAGATATTTGAAGTTCGCCAATCCGCAGTGGGACCGCGGGGTGGAAAATGCCCTGATACCCTCTGTAAAAAAGAGCAGGCCTTTACCCAACCGTGGGATATATATAGTTGTTACTTTTTTTACACATGGAAAACTTATAGCTAACATACAACGATTAATATACAGGATGGCTTTTTTAAAGGTGCCCAAATTCATACAGGAGGTTCAGACTCAGTAGTAATATAATCGTTTATTGAAATAAAAACTTTGTTTTGACTCAAACAAACTTTGTTTGACTTGAAACTCATAAAAATTGCCATTCCATTCCGTAAAAAACAGAACTTAATAACAATGCGGTAGTCATTCATAATTTTTTTTTTGGCTGGATGAGCCACTATTGGCCTTAGGGGCCTTTATCGATTCGACGGACTTGAGGTGGCCGGGCGCTCGAGGCGCCTAGCCTGAACCTCGCGTATTATTATTACGCGTTATGGTGACTAAGCTCGAGGGCTCCTGAGGGAACCTCGGCTCGGGCCGTCACGCTATTGAGTCATTCATAAATGCGTCGTTTACTTTTGAAACGAACTTGTATGCGTGTTATTCATGAATGACGGCGCGTAAAATAAATGACTTGCCCATAAATCCCGCACGTTTTGAGATAAGTTCAAATGAATGTATTTAATAATTTACAAGGGATTTTAAATACTTATAATTTTTTATATAACATTATTTATGTCTAGAATTCAATAAAAAAAATTCATATACTTAGCAAAGTCTCGTAAGTGTAGAAACACATTGAAAAGGATTACAAGTAAAGTAAGAAGTATAAAAATAAATATAAAAGTTATCACTAAATTAATCATAAAAAAACAAAACAAAATATATATAATAAATAAATAATATCCCAAAAAGTTCATGAATTATTTAGTATTTGAATGCGTTTGTTGCTTTTTTTATGTGAAATATTGTCAAACGGTTCAACTGCTGTTAATTGAAGACCGCGAACCATGAATATCAACAGCACCTGAGGGCTTGCAAATGTGATGACAACTTTTGAAAGTCGGCGCTGGTTACCTTATTCAACAGACGAAACGCGAAAGTATAATACCTCCGCTTCACGCCGATCTTCTGTGAGGCCGTGGTACTTCCTGGGACGAGCCAGCCCATTCGTGAAAGCAGAAGTTATTAAGTAGCCCTACCACACTGAAATACTGAATTGAATCCAAAATTAGAACTAAGCAATATTTTTATACGATGCTTATTACTCTCCAAAAGTTAACTGCTTTGTAACAAAAGTGTAATCAAGCCGCTGATAGAGGCTGGTGATAAATTGAAATAAATCAATCCACTCACGCGTCTGAAGTAAGACACATCTTTAAAAGGACGTATTCATGTCTTGGGCCCATAGCTCGACAGAGGCCAGGTCGGGACCAGGTCAAGTCGTCGGAAACAAGGGCAATGCCAATTTCAGGGTCTACTTTGTGTACAGTTAGGCGCTACGGCGACGGGGACGACGACGCGGCGAACAATGCGTGTGACATTGGCGGGAAGAAAGGTGGCTACGCCCCGTGCATAATAAGCGGCAGCCCGTGCTGTCTACGGAACCACGTACCACGTATGAGTGGTCCACATCAGCCAAATGAAACGCAATGGCTCCGCGGTGACAGTTAATCGTCACAATGTGTGTGCTCCAGTTGTATTTTGTGTACGCACTTAGCAGATGATCCACCGGGAAATTTAAATCCGTTTCTCAGTGACTTTAAGTGGCTTTATTAACGTAAGTAACCCAAATTCTGTCCTAGTCCATTTTGTACCTCAAAAATCGGAAAATATTCGTTGTGATCAATAATTAATACATTCATCAAACGGAACGCTACGAATGTTTAATGAACTTTTAATTGCTTACGTTTATCTCAAATGCTGTCTTCGCTAGTTGAATAAGGTTTTTGCGGAGTATATAATTCGTAAAACTCCGATTTCGATGTGTGTGACATAATTTATTATAAATTTATACTTAAAGTGATTTAAAAAAAATATTATTTTATTATTTCTTAATACATAGATAGGATTTATGCACACATTAAACGTAATGTTGTTATATATCTAAATTGTTTGATAAGCATATTCTACCTCATACAATAGCAAATAATTTCAATAATTTCGGAATATATTTCCATCTTTGGTAATGAAAATAAGATTTTTTTTACCTTGATTATAGGAGAGCGAAATTTTATGAAATTTATTACAAAGAATTTATTATTTAAGTATAATTTTAGCAAACTTCAAAATTATTGGATAAAAATTTTTATATAATAAATTAACCAAAGTACGTGGTTTACGTGTATGTATTTAATTGTATAAGATGTAATAAAAAGTACAGTATGTTTGTGTAAATACAAGTCCATTCATATATCTTCATTATTAAAGAATCTACATCTCCTACGTAAGGAAATAGTTCATTTAAATACGAATAATAGTATTTTTTATTGTGAATGTCAAAATTTTATATCAAATCTTATCTTATGAAACGACCAATTGCCACTGTTATATTAAACGCCTAGAGTTGCTGGCGATTTTCATTAATTAAAACATTGAAATTTTAACATGAGACATTGTTGTATAGTTAAAAAGTCAAAATTCGAAACAATACAAATGTCTAAATACAGTTTATTAGATATTCGTAGTAGGTATTTCGAATTTTGATTTTAGATTTAAAAAAAATCGAACTCGCGTGCATTTAGTTTCCTGAGATGTGATAATGTGCGAGAATCAATTAAAATTTACATAAATGTAAATAAAGTCTGTACACGACACGTACAAAGACTTGCCACAAAAAAAAAAATTAAAATCATAATTTAAAGAACTCATCTAAAGTTTAAAAACCTCCCACGCAGCGCTTAACTTTATAGTATGCTAGTGTCAGAATTAATGGTAATAAATTATAGGGCGTACTAAATATCTCATTGTTCTGATACAAATCAATCCATTCAGATAACAGATAATTTTTTACAATAACATGTGTAAAGCTTGAAATACTTGGACGATCTTCCTTTTGCTCCAATACAAAAGCAAAAAATATGAACAACATATTTTTATATAACCAATCGTTACATAAAATGAACTTTTAAATATTTCATACTTAATTAATTTTTTCAGCAGTCAATAACGATCAACAAGAATATGTGGATGAGAATGATGTGAAATTGTTAACTATTTATATCGATTCTGATGGAGATGTTTTGTAATAATATAATATAAATTAAGGCCAATATGAATTGTAAATTGTTCGATATTAGATTTGAAAAAAAAATTCTTTTGCCCTTACAGAATCCAAAACATGGGTTTTCGATTGAATTGAAATTTCACATATTTTCCCTTCGATTAATTCTTTACTTACCGGTTTAAATAATACAGATAGTGAAGGGCCAGTAATGAGAAAATTTTAGTAAAAATAAAATAACAAATAACAAAAAGATATAACGACATAACAAATGAAAAACTGATAAGTAATTTATTCAAAAGAAGCAAAATAGTGGCTGTATTGAAATTTTTCTTGTTATTCCTTAATATTCGCATCTCTCCCCGTTTTTAATATGCTATTTTAACAGGCTTCAGGTTCACCTGTATATATATTTCTGTACAACTTTGTTTAGTATTCGATTATTAATATAATGGGACATACCGAATTTTTTGCTACTACGATATTTTTATTAAGCACTTTCTATAAAAAATGATCTTTGGCATTTCTTAGTATCTGAATGCCTTTTTAAATGACCTTCTACAAAAAATTACTTCGCAGTTTAGATAGATACATTAAAAAGCAAATCTTAGTTAGGTTGAAAATGTTGTAAAGCTCAAATATCATGGAGTAGCAACGCTACCATGGCTAAACTAAAAAAAACTGAAATTGAATAGGTTTATATAAGTAAAGTAAAGTATCAGCCTATACATGTCCCACTGCTGGGCAAAGACCTCCTCTGTACAGAGGGTATCAGGGAATAATTCACCACCCTTTGATATTATTTTGAAAATATGCAAGTTTCCTCACCATGTTTTCCTTCAGCGCGGAGCACGTGATAAGTCAGTACTTAAAATTAACAATTTCATTGGTGTCTGCACCGGGGATCGAAGTCAGGTTGCTAGAGTATATTGAATTAAAGGAGATCGCGCCGACACTGCGCTATCACGGCCCAGGTTTATAGTCTATTTTAAATATTTATGTACCACTTTCTACGTAGATTTTTTACTAGTGAATAAATGGAAATTATAAAATGCACAGAGACACAGATACTTTATTTTTACTCACATCGTAATATACAATTAAGGTTTAATTGTATATTATGATTTAAGTAATATTATTATTAGTAATTTTATAAAAATCCTTATTAAATAAATTTGAAGATTGTGGTCATGATATTTAAATAATAATTTAATTGCAAATAATTTATTTCATGTTCCTATGTTTCAATTAATACTATTTTATGATCCGATCAAACTCTTAATCAGTCAAGATATAAATCTAAACACCAGGTAAATATTAATGTTATTATTGTATATTTTCTTTAACCCGAACGATTGAAACATATTATTATGGAATCAATGGAAAAAGTATGAGATAGAACGACTTCATCAATAAATTCACTTCACTGTACGAATACAAATATTGATTAATGACTACCTATAAATTGAATGACATTTGAGAAAAACTTAAATTATTCCTTAAATATGAAATTGTTATTAAGTGTATATTTACTTTTGGTGATCGTGTTAAATTAATTAATTGCGTAGCCTGACTCTAGCGTAGAACTTTTGAATTGTGCGCAGAGAATTAAAGCTCATAAGCATAAATATTTATAAAAGCCCATCCTATAGTCAGAACAAAACTTGTTTTAAGACCAAATGTATATCCATCTAAAAATGGCTCATCGTCAATTTTTTCCATACAACATTTTAGCATACATTTGATAAAAACGAAAAACAAAAGTAAAACAAATACTTGCAAAGGCCACCTTTAATGCCTAAAATCGATTAGGGGACCGGCAAATACTCGGCCGTATACGTATGCGTCGAATAGACCTGTCCCCAAAATTCCGGCGGCACGTAACACACACTTAAGTGGAAGATGCGGGGCTCGATGACACCGAGGTGTTAACACCAGGGGACGCGCACACATCCCGCTCAGTCGCACTCCAAACATCGCACACGCAGGCGCAGACCTGCCACCTGCACGCTGGTCTCTGCAAGACGTGGTCACTCTGCACCCAGTGCAGTCTCTCTACATAAATAAGTAATGGGATTCTAAGTTTCGTTAACTTTTTGTTTTTCTTCATTAAAAAAAACCGAAATAAATTTTTAAAGTTTCACATTCAGAATTTTTTTAAATTAAGTCCTATATAATTTAATCGTTCTTTTTTTACTTACAGATATCAAGTGGATCACGAAATACAAGTAATAACGGGCAGCTCCCCGTTATGGGGCGAAATTTACTAATACAGGTGAGTATTTTTATAAAACTCATAATTAACCAATAACTTACTTCATCTTTATGTGGTATTATTTATATTAAACAAATATTATTTGTTTAAATAAATTAACTTCAATTTAAAATTAAACTAGGGACGTAAGTAACATTTGTGTTGATTAAACTACAAATAGCAATTACATTTATTTATTAGTAGCTATCTAAAAGCTGCGCAGAAATAATATTAATTTTTTTACAACCAGCAATCTTTAACAAACCATACCATTGTTTAAATTCAAGAATGTACTCGACTTAGGTTTGACATTATCCCAAACCCAATAAAAAATAAAAGGGCTAGTCATATGATATTATTACACGTGATCGAAATTTTGAATAAAAGTCTCTTTTAAATTAATTAGATTTATTACACTACAAATTTTCCACTAAACTTCATTACAGAGAGTTCATAATGTTGTCTTGAATTATTATTTATTGACTTTTGGCTCATTTCGTATGCATGACATTTATGGTGCATTACAAGTCGAACAAGGAAATACTTTGATAACTTTAGGGCAGTGTGCATCTGATATTTGGCAAACGTTTGTTGCATTCACTAAATTGCAATAAAGCTGTCAAGTTTTTTTCGATCTTAACAATTAAGTTTATGGCATTTTTAAATCACAATTTGTATTTCAATATTTCATATTTTTAATTAGAAACTCATACGTGTTTTTATGAAGTATCGTAAATGTGATGATCGGTCGTGGCCATCATTAAATGGTGCACAGAATTAAGATTTATTTACATTGTACCTGGAAATGGAGTTTATACAGACTTTGTTTATAAGACAGGCATAGCTGCATGCAGCACACGCACGGTAGAAGGACGTTCGGAACATCGTTCCCTCGGCCTTACTAAGTACAAATTATCAAAGTCATAGAGTACATACGTTTTTTTTAATTTATATTGGATACTAGCTGTACCCGCGACTTCGTCCGCGTGGGAATGTAAATAAAAAAAAATCTAAAATAAAAGTAGCCTAAGTTACTCTTTACATCAGCTATTTGTCAGTTAAAGTCCAAAGCGGTCCAGCCGTTTCAGCCGGAACAAACAGACAGACAGACAGACAAAAATTGTAAAAAAAATATTTTGGTATATGTACCGTGTATACATCCATATGCATTTAGTAAAAAGCGGTTATTTTATTTTTGATTAGATATAGCACGAAAAATATTACATCTATATTATACCTCTTATCCAAGGTAGGTAATAAAGGAAGGAAGGAAGGTATAGACCTCCTATGTACAGAGGGTATCAAAGGTAGAGTTCATGTTTATATATATATATATATATATAAAATGGAGCTAATGAAGTAACAAGTTATCTTTTTAACTTTTTTATTTAAACTAGCTGGAATTATATGGAAACTTATATGTCTTAGGAAACTTATGTGTTCATTTTTCTGAACCCAGCAAGACATTGATACGTTATGTACAAAAAAATGTTAAATTATGGACAAAGGTGAACCCTTTCACGACCTATTTGAGACAAACTTTTAGAATGACACCATTTGACCTATTTTTAGGAAAGTTTGTAACAAACGTATGGTAATAAAATACCAATCAATATAAACCAATCTTTGTTCTTTTTGAATTTGACCAGGCTATATGTTAATAAGAACGGAGGGCCCACGAGAATTATCGACGGCTTATCTTTGACGAGGGTGCAAGGAAAATTAAAAATATCGAACTCGGCCCCTAATGGGCCCCTTAGCGAAATGTCAAACGTAAATAGGTATACTTTGTGCTTCGTCGATGACGACGACCCCTGGCGACTACCTGCCTGCCGCTGATGCCTATATGCAAATCGTGCTGTTTCTCGAACCAGCCGAGTCAACGCACTAGCGACCGTTTAGAGCTAATTTATTAGATCAACTCCAAAGCGGTAACATTTTTCTAAGGTAATAGAAAAAAAATACAACAACTATTAATTACATAGAAACGAGCTTCGCGTTTTTTAGTTTAAAATTAATGGTGGCAGTCGTTTGATAAGACCGATAAGTGCTATAATCATGTACTTTTTTGGCTCATAAACTTAAATGAAAAATTAAATAGATCTTGTTAAATGCTTCAACCTTTAATAGATATGATCTTTACATACGAAAAGACAAACATTATCTTTACTTAAAAAAATATACCCATTCCTAATAGCTTTAAAGGCTTTTTGAGGTTAAAGGTTTTCAAACAATTTTCTTAAAACAGTGATTATCAGCTTTTCTTCATTAAAACGTTTTTACAATCGAGGCCTGAATGACTAAACAACTGCCAAAGAAAAATGGTCGACTAACATAAGACGCTCTTTGCGTGAAAGTATAAAATTTTCCTTGTATTTTAATTTTTTCTGAGAAATCCCCGACACGTAACATATATATGGATTCGCTTCATGCTCTCAACAGACTCACCTTATTATTATATATTACTGCTAGTTACTGCGGTTTGAATCGATTAAATATTTTCTAATAAAACAATGTATAATAACACATGTTTTAAAAGAATTCATTAAAAACAAAAAATAAACGAGGAATTCTGATAGTAACTTTGCATAACTCTTATGTCACTGACCACTAAACAGTAGGAACATTGGTCAATGACACCATAATCATAGAAACAGAGATAGAATAAATTCTCTTGAACTTGCCCAAAGTGTTGGTTGGTATTGACTTTGGCAGGTTATGTAAATTATGCAAAGATGTTGTGCTATACTTGATCGATAGGTCAGCGACCGTCGCCACCCACGCCCGCGCTTTTAGGACTGTATGTCATACCTCAGCATCAACAACGCTTTATACTAGCTCTCATTAAACACTACACTACGTCACTCCTACGTACACAGAGTTCAATTACGGAAATAATAACATTTCTAGTTGGTTTTTGTTCGCTATAACGGTCGGAAGGTTTGAATTTAAACATGTTGGCTGGCATTTACTCATTCTATTGACAAAGAGCAAAAAGCTTTTTGTACGGGGTCAGTAATCTCTGAATCTTCGTAAAACTGTTTATTTACTTATCAAAAACTCGCTTGGCGGGTATGTAATTAGTAAGGAAAACAGCTACTAGCTCATCTTTGACATGATCAAGACCGGTACGCATGAATTATGATAATGAATTCACTGAAATAACCGTTTCATGATCTTCACTATTTCTCAGGCGGCGGTAGCTTTTCTGCTGATCTCCAGCATCGCTCCATCGCCGCGTTTGGAAGATGGTGCGTTCTTGCGAAGTGCAGTGGAAACTATTCCAGAGCACGACCCTATTGCACAACCAATACGAGCGTCCGTTGAAAGTATACCACTCAGGTAACGAGTCCTTTTCTTCATACTATCTATAAGTACTTTTTAGCAAACAATTTATTTTTGCATTTAATTAAAATTTAACTTTACAACGTTATTTGAATGTTAACTGAAACTTAAAAAAAAAATATTAATGCATTTTTTCAAATACAGACTAGTTTTGTGCTAAAATAATGTTCTTTTTATAAAAATCTTTGGACTAGCAAACTCTTTTTCAATGTTTGATTTAGCTCTCTCTCCACTTTTTTTGGTCAGCCTGAACTTTTTCGTGGATAGGTAATGTGAATAGGTAAACTATTATAGTCTTTAAAGTTATATAAATCCCATTTTTTTTCAGTTAGGTTAACCTTTCAACATTAACAATAATTAAGTTAACCATTCCGTCATCTTGTCATTTAAGGAATCTACGGGATGAAGGGGATGGACGTCTGCCCTTGAGAGACGCTGTTGAGAAGCGACCAATCCCTGTGATAGATCCTAAATTTTTGTCTAATGTCATTGAGGTAAATATTAATACCTATTTAAACTTTATTTATTATTAGGAAACTGACTGCTTAACTTTGATACTTTTTTTCAGACAAGTGATAATTTACTGGAAAATGTACCGAGTTTCGAAGACTACAATGAGTATTACGGAGCTGCTAGCCATTTAAACAAGTGAGTTTGTATAACAATGTCGTTAAAACACCTATAACCATTATATTTATCATAAAACTTTTTTTAAGTGAGAGTTTTCTTATACGGCAATTTATTTATCCAATATTTACACATTAAATGTATCTAAATTACATATTATCTAAAAAACCTAGTCCACGCGGCATGTTGCTAAAAACACTAGCTGGATATCCTCGCTGCATAGTTGTGCTGAGTGAGAAAAGAACCAGCCCTCATTAAGCCTAGGACTTAAACCTTACAAAAATGTCGATGTACGGGGACGCCACAAACCCAAATTTTCATTAGCAAATGGCACAAATACATAATCTAAACAAAAAGATTCATATTTGAATCACCTACTTCAGTTGCCTCCGATGCCGCCCCGATCGCTACAATATCTGCTACCAACAATTATTACTTAAAGAGTACGAGAGTGTGAGTTTAAATAGCTCAAAAAAGGGTTCGTAAATAGCTCCATTACTATTAGTTTTTGAACTATTCATGAACCGGAACACCAGTTCGGGTACCCAGGTGCCCATCGTGAAAAATGTAGGCTAATTCAAATTCAATTCAATTTTAATTTCAGTATATTTTTTTTTATTTGATTATTAATGAAAAAACTACCTACTACAGTGGTTCGCGTACCGACGAACGATTGCAGCTGGGAAACGCTAATCTCCAAGGTATTTTGTTTAATATAATATTTTGTATCCGGTTTGCGATGATGATTGCAAGTGATGTCATTCTTCTCATTGGGCTCAACGCAGACTTTTTGAAAAGTGGACTGTGGTATCGCTCTTTCAGCTTTATTAGGGTTAAATCAATAAAATGTGTTTAATTGTTTAATTTTAATTGTTTATCCTGTTTTTTTTATGTGAGATTGTGGCAAGCGAGCTTGTGGTCCACTTGATGTTAAGTGATAACCGCTGCCCATGGACATTAACAACACCCGTAGGGTTGCAGATGCGTTGCCACCTTATAATAAAGTAAGCCCCGGTTACCTAACTCACCAGACGAAACGCAGAAGTATTATGTCACTTCCACTTCAGACCAGTCTTCTGTGAGGTCCTAGTACTTCCCGGACGGACCTGCTGATTCATGCGACAGCCGAAGCTGTTGCGTGGCCCTATTACAGTTAAACTAAGTATGTGTAAATCTCGTGACAAGTTAAGATTACCATGTATATAAATCTACAATTTGATTTATAATTCATACTACATGCTAATTTACACTACACTATTATACTATTTATATATTATAACACTGTTTTCCGCAGAGATGCAACAAACATCGGGTAGTATATCTGCCCGACGCTTGGTCGTTTGTTATTTGGAGTCTTGGGCAGCGTATAGGGCTCCACCGTTGGCATATACCGCAGGCCTGGTGCCCCGCTCTTGCACACACCTACACTACGCCTTTGCTGGCATCCATCCGCACACCTATGCTGTCATACCTTCCAACGAAGATTACGATATTATCAAAGGTAACAAACAATATTTGGTGCATTATAATCTTAGGCATAAAATTTTTAAGTGAGCGAGAGAACGATAGCTATTTTTTTATAAAGGCATTACAAAAAGATTATGATTTATATTTTCCAATAACGTTAATAATAAGAACTAGGCATAAGGAAAAGCATGAAATTCAATTTTGACAGAGGTCCATAACAAAACTCAAGATAATATTTTACTTCTATGTTAAAATGTTTACTTTATAATACATAATAATAAAAATCAATTACAAAATTCATCTTACTTAATAACGCATAAGCGTTTGAGTGAGATGAATTAATATATAATTATAATAAAAGAATTAATATATCAATAATAATTGATTTTAGGGTTTTTGATGAATTTAATAATTAATTAGGAGTTTCCTCGTTTAAATGTGTCGTGGGGAGAAAACCCCTGCGAGAAAACAGAGCTAACACCAGAAATCAAGATTGTGCAAGTTATCATATTTTTATTGCCTTCGACAAAAACAAAATAAGATTAATTTTGAAATATATAGACGGAAGTTATATATTATCTAGACAACTATATATATTAATACAGGTGGTTATCGAATCGCCACTGGATTGAAGAGACGCCTCTCCGGACTCCGGGTATTGATAAGTATCGGTGGTGACGGCACTGGACGTCTGTTCAGCGAAATGGTACAGGAACCTTACAGAAGAAGCGCGTTCATTGACAGCGCACTTGCATTTTTACAAGAGCACGACTTTGATGGTATTGATCTGCATTGGATTTATGCCGGTGCGTATGGATTTTAATGTTTTTGATAAATACTATTCGTTAATACGTTTGAATGACTTCTACTATTCGCGGTTTATTGCAGGGGATAAGGATGACAAGGAAAAAGAGCTGTTGACGACTTTGCTTTACGAGCTTCGTGAAAAATTGTCATCGTATGGATACCTTCTCTCTACCGTACTACCGCCATTTAGGTACCTACTCAAAATTATTATAAATCGTAAGAAGAATACAAAGTCCCAAATTTCAACAAAGATTTGATCATAAGACTCCTTGCATGTGTCTGTGACATCAAGTTAACTAGACATAAAATCGATCATGAATTAACCTTTAATATTAGCCTATACCGTTTTTCATGAATGTTTTAGCAAATTAAAATTAGTGATAGAAAGAAGTATGAAAGTGCACTTCGCGTTTGAGCAAAGCAATAACGTATCCGATATAAACACGTTTTTAATAACATTTATTACCGTTAATGAATCTTTTAAATTTAAGATACCAAATTGAGGACGGGTACGACTTGAGTGCGGTTAGTGGCGCTACCGATTACGCGATCTTACAAGCATGGGACATGACACACGGCAAGCGCGATGATCCACCGTCAAGAGCTGTTCAGCACAGCGCCCTTCATCGTGACCCTGGCGCTTCAGCCCGAGACCAACGATATGACAACGTTGTATGTTTAAAATTAACTTTCACTTAAAAAATGAAACTAATTTACGAATTAAATGAACTAGTTACGGACCCTTTCCAGCATTCATGGTCTCGGTGACCGTGGAAAGGTTTCGAAACGTCGGGAATTTCTAAACAAAATAAAAACGCGATAAAATCCATAAACTAGTTTCATTTAATATTTTAGTAAAATCTAGAAGTCAATAAACTAACCAACTTATTTATACACTCAAATGTGGTTTACTCTGAAAATCCAATCCACCCAATATAGCAATCAAATTTAACTATTCTCTCTTCGGCATCTAGTAATAATATTATCCTTTCTAGGAATTTATGGTTAAGTACATTCTTCGCCACGGTATGTCCGCTGAAAAGTTAGTATTGGGAGTTCCTTTATTCGGTCGGAGCTACACTTTATCTCCATCGACGTTGCCAGCCCCTGGAGCTTCTATCAGCGGATGGGGTGATGAGGGACCCTACACACAAACACGAGGAATGTTAGCCTACTTTGAGGTGAGTCTGCATTTAATGATCAACCTGCATTTGCTACCGTTTATACATCCGTTTCGATATCTACACTGGTACTCCTTTATAGATTTGTATGGCTGAACGCGAAGGTAAAGGAACGAGCGGCTTGGATGAAGCTGGAAATTCGTTTGCAGTTTTCGACAATCAATGGGTGACATATGATACCCCAGACACAATTCTAGAAAAGGTACCTAAATTTTCAGAACATAACGCTTCAAAAATTTTGTGGATGTGCAAAGTGTATTGATAGATTTATCATATCCACAAAATGAGATACATAGATTAGATACATTTTTAATGTGAATTATTGTAGATAAAGTGTCGTAAAAAATATTTTGTGTCGGTCTATTATAAACTAGCTGAATAAGCTAAGCACAGCTAGAAATAAAAAAAAACAAAAAGTAGATAGCCGCTTAATTCAGTTGCCCAGTGAGCCTGGACATGTAACATGAAAGAGGAGGGTTAATCATGGCCGCACCGTAGAATTTCCGGCAATTTGTATACAAAAATTCTCTTTATGTTCAACTTCAGTACAGTTTGGCACAAAGAATAAAATCAATCAATAGATAAATTATCCCATTTTAGATGAAATTCATAATAAGCGTAGGCTTAGCTGGAGCAGCGGCTTGGGCATTAGACATGGACGACTTCCGTGGCCTTTGTGGATCACCATACCCGATGATGAGCGCCATTTCAACGACATTGAATGGTAAATAAAATAAAAAATTTCGTACTCGAAACATTTGTATTGTTCAAGCCTTAACTATTTAACTTTTAACATAACAGGAGAGTCGACGCAAACAGATCAGTCATCCCTTAAGATAGGATCATGTGAAGCAGAAACACCATATTTAGCGTCTGATGAAGAATCCTGCGCACACTTCCATTTCTGCACTGGTGGTATTAATTACAGGATGCTTTGTGAAGATGAACGGCTTTATGATCCATCAACCGGTTTTTGTGGGTAAGTCTGTTAAGCATTAAAATAATATATTAAGTATATAAAATAATATAACCTTAATCTATAAGCTTCAATAATTAATAATAATATTAAATTTTCCTTAAAGTTAATGATTACAAAATAATGTATTTAATATTCATACTATTCAAGGCACCAGGATGTGGCGAAATGCATACCCGGACAAAGCTTGCGGATAAGCGTCGAAGACGCTGCACGATTTTTATCACAGGCTTATGAAAATGATTTTGAGGTAAAATTACATACAGTACATCACAACATGACATACGCACATTTATATGTTGTTAAGTACTTTCTGTACATTGTAAAATTATATACTTACTCATAAAATTTATGTTCACAGTGGAGTAAAGATGGATCCCACAATAAAGAAACGGGGCAACTACTCGACTCGTCACAGTCTGAAATTAAAAAGAGTGAGTAACTAAATTTTATTCGCGTATAATAATTAATATTTGTAATGAAGTGATATAACACTTAAAAATTAACGGTTCATTTTTTTATATTTCAGGCAGAGATAATGATAAGCGTGTTGTCTGTTATATGACGAGTTGGGCGTTTTATAGACGAGGCGACGGCAAATTCGTCCCCGAACATATAGACACGCGCCTTTGCACACATATAGTATATGCTTACTCCTCTTTGTTGACCGACGATCTAGTTATCAAAGAGTTTGATCCTTGGGCGGACATAACAAACAGTAAGAAGCATTTTTCATCCACTTAAGTGTTCTCTGACTCTACTTGTGACGAAGTTTTGAATTTTAATGAATGAATGTTCTCTTACAGATTTATATGAACGTGTCACTTCTCTCCAAGATGTTAAAGTTCTTTTGGGATTAGGAGGCTGGACGGATTCGGCGGGAGATAAATACTCACGCCTAGTATCATCTAGCGCTGCTCGTACTAAATTTGTTGTTAAAGCTGTCAGCTTCCTCAGAATGCATAACTTCAAAGGCCTCCATTTAGATTGGAATTATCCTGTCTGTTGGCAGAGCAATTGTAAGAAAGGCGCAAGGTCCGATAAACAAAACTTTGCTAAACTAGTGCAGGTAAGCTTATCAAACATGTGTTATTTATTTATGGTAATATGTATGTAATGTCTTGTCATCTATAAATTCAATTAACACAACTCAAGAACAACAAGTGCAGCAAACAAATAGCTAAAATATCTATAAAACTATCAGTTAACGCCCTCTTCAAAATACCATGTATTGAAATAAACAATGAACTGCTAGAATAAGTTTATATTTCATCCCAATTTTTATTTTTAATGCCAGAATAGATATTTATCTAAAATAACGCACATACCGACACATATTTTCTTATTCCTCTATAGGAACTATCTAAAGCATTGCACGCGGCTGATATGGAACTGGGGGTAGCTCTGTCCGGATACAAGGAGGTTATTGAAGCGGCGTACGACCTGCCCGTCATATCTAAAGCTGCCGATTTTATGAGCACCATGACATACGATTACCACGGCGGTTGGGAAAGGTCTACCGCACATCATACACCGCTGGTTCCAGCTACAAGAGACGCTCTATCTTATTATTCAATCGTTAGTATTATTAAATTATTGTTCTTTAAAATTATGTAAGGAACACGGAAAGTCAAAACCAGATAACCTTCCCTTCATGGGTGGCAAGTGGAACTTTTTATTATGTTTGTTAATCAAAATAAATAACAAATATCCTTTTTGTTTGAAAAGTATTTATTGATTTCGACGTAAAGATTTTTAGTAACTGGGACGGTGAAACAAATAATGTTCTGAGTTATTTATAAAGTCGACTAAATTTGACCAGTCCCGGCGCCCTAAAAACTAAATTCTTCATTTATGCTATGAAAGCTATGAAATAGGTTAAATGGTGTAAGAGAGTAATGAGCTAAGAGAATCCTTCCTTGTATGGAAACTAAAACTTTAATGTATTTTAGGAGTATGCGATTAAGGCAATGATAGAGGGCGGTGCGGATCCCAAAAAGCTATTACTGGGACTAGCATTCTACGGGCAATCGTATCGATTGGCAGATGTCGAAGGACCAAACGGACCAGGGGCGTCGGCTGCGGGGCCCGGTGAGCCAGGCGAGTTCACTAAACAGCCAGGAATGTTATCTTATTACGAAATTTGTTACAGAGGTAAGATAAAGAACTTATAATATTGAAGTAAATTATACTTTAATCCGACAGTTTATTTAATATGTATTTTTTCGGTACTTATTCCAGTGAAAAACTTGCGCTGGAAGACTGGTAGACAAGACCGCGCAGGTCCCTACGCATACTCAGATAATCAATGGGTTGGATACGATGACCCTAAGTCTATCCGTGATAAGGTAAAATTAGTTTATCACTAATAGAGAAAATAAAAAATATAAAAATAAAACAAAAAGTAATGTAAAATACTCCAACTGTCTGAGCAAAAATATTATTTTCATAAACAAAACTTACCCGTGAAGAGTTAAGTGAAAACACATTGTTTGCAATGATAAAATAATTAGATTCTTTTGATATTGCAATGTCATTTCACCGAATCCTATGTGTCCGAATTTTATAACACGCAAAGAGATAGAGGGATAAGCACGCAAAGAAATAGAGAGATAGAAGCAGAATAACTACTAAAGCAGCTGCTCTTTGCTGAAACAGGTTGAATGGGCTCTCCGGCAAGGCCTGGGTGGCGTGACCGCTTGGGCGATCGATCTGGACGATTTCAACAACCGCTGCTGTGCTGAGCCATCGCCGCTTCTCCGGGCTGCCGGCCGCGCCCTGGGCCGCAACGTGCCGGAACCGCCCACGTCTCCTTGCGAAAGGCCTCCAGAGCCCGTCACACCGGCACCTCCAACCACCACGCCCGCCGAATCCGATGGTGATGAATCAAATCTTATTAACGAGAATCATACCAAATGTTAAGTTCAACCAGATCTGTGTTTATGTCTGTAACAACAAATAGTATCAAAATGTCACAGAGATGGAAAAGGTCTTTATATTATACTAAATATTAACTTGCTAAGATTCAGATCTGGACGATTTCAAAATTTCACCTAATTGTTACTATTACTACGATATTTACCTATGCTGAGAATAACTTATTAGGAAAAAGTAAAATATGTAAATAATAACAATGTAGTGTTGTCTTTTTATACTTTCTATAATGTGTGGTTTATAAATTGTTAGGTTCCGTCATCGGTACGACCGAACACCTCCACGACCATCACGAACACGATCACACGACCAAACCAACTTCGACCACCTGGCCGGGATGGAAACCACCATCCACAACGGCCATGACTTGGTGGCCACAAGCGACTACAACAAGCATGAAACCTACGACAACAAAACCCACAACTACCGAACGAACAACAATCAGAACAACTACCACGCGTCGACCTACCACTGAAGAAATGGATTCAGGTAAAAAAATTGAAATTGATATTAGGTTAAGAGTAATTAGACTAGTGACGTGCACACTTAGCTAGAGTGCACAACGCAGGGTGAGTGATAATTTATCAGAAAAACCGATATGATCAGGTCCAAGGACATCGATTAGTAACTAAAAATGTTAAAATTAGATGTGATGAAATATTTGTATTTAACAATGTGTTTAACAAGGTCTATTACAAGTTTGTTTATTGTCGCATTTTAGGTGTGGAAGGGTCATCTTGTGAGGCAGGGGAGTACCGAGCAGCTCCCGGGGACTGCGAAGCGTACTTGCAGTGCGAAGGTGGACAATGGCGCAAGCACCGTTGTGCTCCAGGACTACATTGGTCTGCTAAAACTGGTCGTTGCGACTGGCCCAGCTTTGCTAAATGTACAGGTAAAAATTTTTGTTAAGAAAGAAGAAGAAGAAATTTTAGAAAAGTATTTCGCCAAAAAAAATCTAAAAAAAGCAGTTGTTTTTATTTAAAAATGGTTATAATAATATAAAACAATGAATTCCGTGTTTAATCAAAAGTTAAGTGTATGCTACAGCATTTCTATTATAAAAGTTCTAAGTAAATTATAATTCTTAGTTCTAACTCTATTGTTTCAATTCCGCGAAAATAAAATACTTTTCGTCCATTTTTCAAAAAATTTCAATGTTTTATCTTAAGTGCACTATTAAAACTTAGTTTAAAAATTTAATATACTTCTAATAGAAAAACCACCAAGTGAAGCAAGTACGGCAACGACCACCCTCGCTCCGATGACTTCTCGCCCGCCACCAACAACAACAACCAGACGTACCACTACCTCGCGGCGAACAACAACCACCACTACCACTACAACAACTACAACTACTACGACAACAACGCCCAAGCCGAAGCCCACAACGACCAGGACCACCACAACATCCGCTCCCTCAATAGAAGGTCTGTAGCATAATCTTAACACAATAAACGTGTTTAACGAAAGTTAGTTATCTATATATAATAGTGTTTTAAGTTAGCTATGTAATTCTTGATCAATATAATCAATTTACCACAGTACTTCAACTTCAAACTTTGAGAACATATTTTATTTATTACTTATTTCCCTTAAATTGATTTCCCTGCTTTCAAATGAATGAAGATATTTGGACAAGAGAATGCATCAATTTTTTTTCTTTAATATATTTATACATACCTAAAATAGTTTTTAATTTCATTTCAAGATGGCGTCGGAGCAGGACAGCCATGCAATGGACAAGATTACCAATCCGTCCCCGATGACTGCAATTCATACTTGCACTGCGACGGTACCATGTGGCGTCTCCAGCGCTGTGCTCCTGGCCTACACTGGAGTCCCAAGCAGAAGCATTGCGACTGGCCGAAATATGCTAAATGCGAAGGTAAATTAACATGATATGTATGCACATTATCTATTGTATTGAGGTTTAATAGCCCGTGACATGAAACATTTTCCAGACCTTTAGATCGTCTACCTTTGTTTGAAAACTTTAAATATGTAACTTAATTCTGAAACAGTAACTGGTAGCCGTCGTAATCTATTAATGGACCGTCATCTTGTGCTCTTTTTCCTTGTAAAAGTTATTAAATTTTAGTTTTCTTCATGTTCATTGAACGTTTTTAACAAAAATTATTTTAGAAACATATTACAACACTCGTCCACTACTAAAATTGTTTAGACAGTTTTTTTTAAATAAATTAATTTTACATTTTTATGTCCAGCTTCTGCTCAGAAAACTACGACCACTACACCAAAACCTACTCGGCCCTCAAGACCGACTAGACCACCTACAACTACAAGTAAGTTCTTTACTACTATTTTATTAATGCTTAGATTTCTAATTAATATAATATAATCCTTGCTCTACAAAAAAGGCGCTCGCTTACCATTCGTGGATCCCTCGCAACTTAAATCTCCTAACTTTTAACTGAAGTATGGCATTTAACTCATTGAATTTGACCAATGGGTCACATATGTAATTTTGTGCAATCTCAATTTTCTAATATTTTTTCTTAATATTTCAAATTCAAAAACATTATAAGTCTATAACTAGTTTGTTCAATTTCAGCAACATCTTCGAGCTTAGAACAACAAGAAGATGGAACTTGTGGTGACAATGAAGTACACGCCCCAGCAAGCACATGCGATGCATACTTGCTTTGTGTAAGTGGCCGCTGGCGAAAGCAGCTCTGTCCACCCGGCCTGCACTGGGATAAACGCTCTAACCGTTGTGACTGGGTTGAATTCGCTATGTGTGAAGGTACATCTATAAATATTTACATCACAATCAAGGGTATCATGCCGTTTATTAGCCTGAATATAAAATTATTTCTAAAGTGATACGTTTTGATAGACAATGTTCATATATTACAGCATCAAAACCATCAACAACAAGGAAGCCAGCGTACCAAATAACAACTACCACAACAACAACCACCAGAAGACCGACTACCACAACTAAGAGGCCGTACACATTATCCGAGGAATATCAGAAGCCAACAGTATGTATTCACGCTAGTAACCGATGCGTTTAAGAATTGGAAAGTGTATAAATATAAGAATTGGAAAGGCTCGATATCATTACAACATACTTTCTTTTACAGCGATGTGTAACCGGCACGTACCACACTCATTCGCGATGTGAAAAGTTCTATGTATGTGTGAATGGCATCTTAGTTACCCAAAGCTGTGCTCCTGGCCTCGTTTGGAACCAGGAACGTTCTCAATGTGACTTCCCGTCATATACATCGTGTTCAGACCGGCGAAAAGTGACGTCTGCCGCTATGGTCGATAGCACCAAGTTAACCACTACAAATGACGTACAAGAAGTAGAGAACACGGAAGACAAAACAAGTAAAGATTTTTTTAATCGATATATTATTGTTCGTTGCAATAGTTTACAATTTTCTGTCTGGAAAACTTGTAATAACCTTTTATAATCTCTTATAGCATTTTGCGAAAACGGTCAATATGACAGAGACCCTACGGATTGCACACGTTATCGCCACTGTCTTTTCGGTAAATTTGAAGAGTTCTCATGCAGCGCCGGGTTGCACTGGAATCAGGTAACTTTCACATTTATTAAAAAATATGTATATGTATTTTAGTCAATGTTAAATAAATCATATAATTATATATCTTTTCTCAACAGGAGAAACAAATATGTGACTGGCCACAAAGTGCAAAATGCAAAATACAGAAGGTGACAACCACCACACAGCCAACCTTGATGGATCCAGTTATAGATTCTATTGTTGAACCTGAAATACCTATAAAACCAATTGAATCTTCTCCCACTACAACTTCAGTAGCGCTAATAGATCCTGCGTCTAGGCCTCCTCTTCTAAATTGTAAGAGACCATTATTTTGTATGTAATTATCATTTAATAACTCGTTACATTAAACAGTTTATTACAAACTATTTCTATATGTCATTTGATATTTATTTATTAAAATACTTATTTTTAGAACTTTTTCTTTAACATGTGTGGGTAAAGAAAAATGGAGTAGCTACCATCTAAACCAATTTTATTTATTTTAATGTATTCATCAAACTTAAAATTCCAATAAAACCACTTTTCAGCACGATACAAATTGGTTTGCTATTACACAAATTGGTCGTGGTATCGCCCTGGCCATGGAAAATATGGCCCTGAAGACATTGACCCAACTCTTTGCACCCACATTGTGTACGGCTTTGCAGTTTTAGGGTCTGACGGATTAATCACTCCTCATGATCCTTGGGCTGATCAAGAAAATCGTACGTTCCTAATATTTGTAAATTAATTAGAATTACTAAAAGCATAGATTAAATTTATTGCAACATACTTTTTGTTCACAACAGGTTTGTACGAGAGAGTAGTAGAATACAAGAAATATGGCATTAAAGTATCCATAGCAATAGGTGGATGGAATGATTCTGTTGGAGACAAATATTCAAAATTGGTTAATGACCCTTCAGCACGTGCAAGATTTATCAAACACGCCGTGGAATTTATCGAAAGATACGGCTTTGATGGTTTGGACTTAGATTGGGAGTACCCGAAATGTTGGCAGGTATAATCAAAAACTGTAATATACTCAAGCAAAAAATAAGGCTTTTTACCTACTTTGGTAAAAATATTTATTTAATTATGATAAGTACATGTTATAAATTTTCAGGTCGATTGTTCAATGGGACCTGATTCAGACAAAGAAGGTTTTGCGGATTTAGTCCGTGAGTTATCCGCAGTATTAAAACCTAAAGGTTTGTTACTGTCTTCAGCCGTCTCACCAAGTAAGAGAGTAATAGATGCTGGTTATGATGTACCAGTTCTGGCAAGGCATTTAGACTGGATTGCTGTTATGACCTACGATTACCACGGTCAATGGGAAATGAAGACTGGCCACGTTGCACCCCTATACTATCATCCTGATGACGATACAACATATTTCAATGCTGTAAGGATTTATATATATATATATATATAATAATAATAATAACTAAAATCTATTTTCTTTAACCTTACCGTCTGACTTTTCATTGATCTCAAGAGTTGCAAGCTAATTCGAAATTATTTCAATCTATATCACAGAACTATACTATGCACTACTGGATGGAAAAGGGTGCCCCATCTTCCAAACTTGTTATGGGCATACCGATGTACGGTCAAACATTCACAACAGAACCTGTGTCTGACATTAGTTCCCTGAACGTACCAGCTTTGTCTGGAGGAGACGCAGGCGAATACACAAGAGCTAAAGGCTTTTTAGCTTATTACGAGGCAAGTATTTGTTGCGTCACCAGAATTGTATTCAATAAATTTTACATGATATATATTTATGACCCGATTGGCGTGGGGAGTAGTGAACCTGCCTCTTGCGCCAGAGGGGGTGGGTTCGATCCCCACCCCCTACGAGAAAAATATTGTGTGATGAACATATTGTTTTTCCAGTGTCTGGGTTATATATGTATAATATGTATTTTTTTACAAAAAGTATGTTTAAATATGATAAACAGTTTTCTAGTATGCAATGCTGTACCATGGGTACAAGCATTGCATAGTTTTTAAAAAAAAAATAATGTAATAAAATATTTTGACCATATGTGAAGTCTGCCAATCCGTAGTAGGGTCGCGTAGTCTATGTCCTAATACCCACTGTACATTGAAGGCCTTTGCCCAGCAGGGGGATATTTTTATGGGTTGATACTTTTACTTAATATGTACTTTACATGCAGTGATAATCTTTGTTGTTTATCACGGCGCTGCTACAATAAAAACTATAAGTATTTGTTTAAATAAATATTCACCCATAAATATATCTGTTTTCAGATTTGTGAACGTATCATGAATAGAAAATGGAAGGTAGTTAAGGATCCTCTACAACGTATGGGTCCATTTGCATACAAAGGCAACCAATGGGTATCTTTTGACGATGTAGATATAATCAAGAAAAAAGTTAACTTTATCAAATCATTGGATCTTGCTGGTGGGATGGTTTGGGCACTCGATCTCGACGACTTTAAGAACAGGTACACAAAAACATAAAAAAATTAGTATAACAATCGTATCCCTAATAAAAATGTATAACTATTATTGATGGTTGTATCAAAGTTCTTATGATAGCACCTTCAATATGCAATAGTTGGTGCCATTCAACGTATAGCTATAACTATATATATAGGCAAGTCGTAAGTAAACCGATTCGTAGCTACCGATATTTATTCATATTATATGTATCAACATAAATTGCTAAACAACGATCAACTTGTGCAAATAACTTCAATAAATGGTTAAGCAACAAGCGCGATGAAGCTTTTATCGTTTTATGTATCCATATTAAGAATACTAATGTAAATTTAATGTATATTCGTCATTTCCTTTGAGTTGAATAAGATTCAGAGAAAATAAGATTCAGCTGCAAGTTTTAAACTATAATATAATTGTTATAGATGTTATCAAGGCCGACATCCGCTTCTTAACGCAATAAAAAATGAATTATTGAATCCAAAAATTGAATACGAACAACCTCAATCCGTGCCAGATACACATAATGAAATAGACGAAGATTTGGAAGATATCGAAGTGAGACCCGCGGTCACTAAACCTAAGCCTACTACTACTGTGCGACCGATCAAACAAACAACACCCTATACTACGACAACTTCCATTACTACTAAGAAACCAGCTCCTCCAGTTAGTATGGACGAAGAAGAGCAATACAAAATTGTGTGCTACTACACAAACTGGGCCTGGTACAGGTTAGTTCAGTCGAATTCCTTTTATATTTTATACCAAAAGACGATGCAAAATTTTGTTCTTAATATTTATTTATATCCGAAATGATTTTTTCGTATTTTTAAAGCTAAAATAAAACTTTACTTCACAGGCCGGGATCAGGAAAGTACACCCCGAATGACATTGATCCATCAATGTGCACGCACATTGTATACGCATTTGCTGTCCTTGATAACAATAAATTAGTAATCAAACCTCATGATAATTGGCTAGATGTTGAAAACAGTACGTTTATTTTTACAATCGATACATTATCAAATAATTTTTTTTATATTTCGGGGTATTTGAATATTTTAATGAAACAAATACATTTTATTTGTGTTACAGAATTCTACGAGAAGGTAGTGGCGTTAAAGAGTCAAGGTGTAAAGGTATTACTAGGTTTGGGTGGTTGGAATGATTCCGCCGGAGATAAGTACTCACGCCTAGTCAACAACCCTTCAGCTAGAAGAAAATTCGTCGTGCATGCACTGGACTTTCTGGAACAGTATGAATTCGATGGATTAGATCTCGACTGGGAGTATCCTAGATGTTGGCAAGTAAGTTGGAAAGTAATAAAAGGAAATTCACTCGTTAATTTCAAATTATATTTACTTTTAACAGTTGAAATCTAGATACATACCATCAACATTAAGGCTTATTACTTGAAAATAAAAAAAATACTTAAATAATCGCAGGTAAACTGTGAAAAGGGTCCAAGCACTGACAAGCAAGGATTTGCTGATCTCATCACGGAACTGCGCTCATCATTTGTCCCGCGTGGTCTTCTCCTTTCTGCAGCAGTTTCAGCCAGCAAACAAGTAATTGATGCTGGTAAGTCTATTGACATTGGTTTACCGTTGAATTTTATTATAAACATATCTTTAGCCTATGGTATAACTTTTTTATAGGATACAACGTACCTGTTTTGGGCAAGCAGCTTGATTGGATAGCTCTAATGACTTATGATTACCACGGACAGTGGGATAAAAAGACGGGCCACCTTGCTCCCATGTACGCTGGTGATGACGGTACCGATCAAACCTTCAATGTGGTATGTAACACAATAATGTATATTTAACGATTAGAAGCTCTGGAGGCTATATCAAATTCTATCATAAAATAATTAAATTTCAGAACTACACTGTTAACTACTGGATTAAGAAAGGTGCTCCTCGTGAGAAACTTGTAATGGGAATACCATTTTACGGCCAATCGTTCTCGTTATTAGAAAATGCTGGCAATGGTTTGGGTGCACCAACTTATGCCGGAGGTGACCCAGGGGATGAGACAAGAGCACGAGGATTTTTGGCTTTCTATGAGGTACTTAGAAAAATAAATTGCGTGTTTTTTGTTTGAAAAAATGTTAAGTTTCACGAAGTTAAACTACGTTTCTTACAATATTTCGCTTACATTATACAGATTTGCGAACGCATTAGAATGCAGGGATGGAACGTAGTCCGAGATCCTGCCGGTAGAATGGGTCCATATGCCACCAAAGATGACCAATGGGTATCTTTCGATGACGAATTTATGATTCGTCACAAGGCAGAGTACATTCGCGCCACTGGTTTGGGTGGAAGTATGATTTGGACACTGGATCTGGATGATTTTAAGGGACAATATTGCGGTTGTGGCAAATCACCCCTTCTGTCTACCATCAACTACGTTCTACGCGGACGTGACGCACCTCCAAGATGTTCTTTGGAAGAAAGTGAGTTTTCCTTTACAATAAAGTAAAGTGTCCTTTACACTAGCCAAAATATTGTAAATATTAACTATTACCAGCTGCATTGTTACGTTTGATACATTATAAATAGAGCAAGTGATTTAAATAACGGCTAAATATAACGTATGAAGCCTTTTTATTTAAATTAAGACATAATTAGTATTTTTTTCAGTCTTTGCTTTAATTATTAATGAATTTTAGTTTTTAAGTTTTTGAGCACAAGGACTTTATTCCCTATAATCGTATACTCGTACGTAGAGCTGTTACTTTTAATATTCAAAATTTTTATTCAGTTCAAAGTACAACGACGAGTGAAAGCACTGAAACTGCGATGACTACAACGCCGACGCCAGAACCCGAAAAAGAATCCGATATCGAAATTTCTCCCGATGTGAGTATATGAAAGTAGTTTCTGTTGTATAGAGCCAAATACAGCGTGTCGTTACAATCACGACGATAAATGAACATCATAAAAAAATATAAAACGTTAAAAAAATTCATAATTAAAAAAAATGTATTTTTCGTTTGAAAAATATATTAGTCTAATTTAATAAAAGTCTGTTTAGACTAATTAAATAAAAAAGAAACAAAATTTGTAACATCCTATACAACTAGAACTGACTGATTCATACATTCAGAGACTTTTTCATTCGTTGCCACAACGTCGCATTACAAGTCTCTAACTTCTAACAGTGTGTTTTGTCTCTTTTAAATTCATTCAACCCATTCATATGCTTTGTGACCTTTACAAATGAACTTTACGTTACAGTTTTATACGTAAGGGGGTTCTAAAAATGTTTGTTTTGTAAAATTAAATAACTCGGTAAATATTGATGTTTAAAGAATGTAAATACTTAATAAAATTTTAAAAAGTTATCCTCTATAGCGCTAAAAGTTATCCTCTGCTCGACGGTGAAGAAAACATCGTAAGAAAACCTGCTTATTTTCGAAATAACATTAAAAAAATATTTTAAAAATATGTAAAGTCCGCCAATCCACAATGGCGCCACGTCGTGGACTATGTCTTGATACCCTTTGTACAGTGCAAGCCTTGCCCACCTGTGGGACATTTTAATGCTTTTACTGTTGTTGTATTTAGGGCAACATTGTATATAATAAAAGTTCGTCGTAAAGAAATCGTATAACTGTGTATTCTTATATAGGAGAATACGTTGGAAGGCAAAGCGTGTTCGGAGATAACGTTCAAGGCAGACGATTCAGATTGCAGCAAATACTACCTTTGTATCAACGGACAGTACATCGAACTTACTTGTCCGGCACCGTTAGTTTGGAACAAGGTAAAAAACTTGGCTACAAAAGATTACAATAAAACTGCTGTACTCTTATAACATTCGTGCATCGAATAATTATACGAACAATACAGAACCAATCATTTATTAATTTATGTAAAAATATAAGCACTGTTTGATAACTCGGCTTCTGTGATTTTATAAAATCAACATTATTCAACATTAAATAAATACATTTTGGATAAAATCGTGCAATATTACATATTATATAATAAATAATGAACAGTTTATATACTCTTATTAACATCGCTTTGTTTTCCAGAATCACTGCGATTGGCCGGAGAAGGCGCAATGCAAAGGCAAAGCAAATCTTAGGCTTACAGATGGTGAAGCAATAGAAGAAAACATAGATAAACCTATAATAGCGTGCTATTTCACAAACTGGGCTTACTACAGGTATGTTTTATTATCAACAAAAATGATTCAGTAATTGCGGCAAGGTTAAATTTTATAATAATTGAAAAGGAATAATCTAAAAAAAAAGGTTTTAATTTTGGTTATCAACAAAATATACATATATAAAGTAAATGGAACTATTCTTACCTCTCACAGGCCAGATAAAGGCAAGTTTGGCCCTGAACAAGTAGATGCGTCTCTATGCACGCATATAATATACACATGGGCCCATCTCAACAGTAGCACATTTAAATTAGTTCCTGGAATTCCAGAACTTGACGTCGACAATGGTAAATCTACAATTAATATTCCAACAATTATATAAGTACTACATTTTGAAATGCCTGTTTCTTAGTATTAAACATCTGACTCAACTTACAGATTTCTTCGGTAAAATATCGGAATTGAAATTAGAAGGTGTCAAGGTGATCCTTGGTGTTGGTGGTTTAAATGACTCCCGTGGAAACAAATGGAGCGAAATGGCCAAAAGCAGTGATAACAGGAAAACTTTCATAGAATCAGTTTTATCTAACATGAAGAGATGGAAGTTTGACGGTTTGCACGTTGCTTGGCAGTACCCTGTGTGCGGACAGGTAAATATTTTGTGTGTTGTATGTTAATAGTAGATATACAAAGAAAATCATTTTGCGATCCCACAACCTAACGAAAGATGTGAAACTACTGATAACACTAAGTTAATACATTGTATATAACTGTGTCGCTTAGTCACATATATATTTTTATGTTACTATTACGAAAATATGCACGATTCCTCATGATGTTTGACCAAATGACCGCTGAGTGAGTCATCACTTAAAATCAATAATTACATTAGTACTGACCGGGATTTGAACTTAGATTATTCGAGCATAACGAATTAAAACCTAGCCGCCTGGACACTAAACTATCACGGCTCGATAGTAAACTTTAATTTTTAGTGCTAGTGTCTGCGCTTAAGATGAAACATAAATGTGTATGTAAAACTGTGGTGAGGATGTCGATCGCTAAGTTTGGGTCTAGATCGTCTGGTTAGAGCGTCCGCACTCATAATCCGAAAGGCGGATTCTCTTATTCTGGCAGCGGCGAACATTTTCGAGACAGTTTAATCTACACATTTTGTTTCCTCACGATTTTTTCCTTCACCGCTGTGCACCTGATAATTCACTACTTAAAATTGACAATTTCACTGGTGCTGGCACTGGGGATGAGCTCTGTGCTCGAATATATTAAATTAAAGGCGAGCGCCCGGAGACTGAGCTATCACGGCTCTTAAGATGTAGGTAAAGCGAAAAAGACAGTTTTTAAATTCGAAAACTTCTTTCCAGGAATCATGTACAGAAATTACGTATGATGGTGCAGATAAGAACAATTTTAATGCCTTACTGTCAGAATTATCAAAGACCTTGCACCAACACAACTTAGAACTGTCGGCAGCTGTGTCACCTAACCCACAAGTCGCCGCGGCCGCTTACAACCCAGAAATCCTCACAGCGACCCTAGATTGGATAGCGATTGCTGCCAACGATTACTATGGCTCGTCGAACAGACGCACGGCATATTTATTACCACTACAAACCAGTCCATCTTCAGAAATTGGCGACTTTGTAAGTCACGGCTTTTTTCGTATCCCTTGCTCAACTCATTCTGAATATGTCAATGATTTTGCTCTGTTGCAAAATATTCTTTAAGGATTTGTTTCCTTTTGTAATAATGGGGATTGATTTGGCTAGTGTTTTTTTTTAATAAATCCTCTTACGCATCGAATTTCAGAAGTCAATTCTAGCTTACTGGTTGGGTGTGGTCCCGGCGCGTCAGCTAGTAATGAGTATTCCAGCTTATGGCAGATCCTACACGCTCAGAAGCGAACTCTTCGTGCTCCCTGGCTCTCCCACCACGGGGACTGGTGACGCTGGAAATTACACACAAGTGCCCGGCTTCTTAGCCTACAATGAGGTATTTATAAAGTTTTATTACCAACGCCAGCTCTCTCAAACCTAGAAACAGGTACTTCTCAAGCTCTGGTTTCGTGAATGTCCGAAATGGCTTACAAGATGCTTTTAAAATAAATGTTAAATGTATATTGATTAATCTAGAATAACTTTATCTTAATCATTTTTATAACGTTCAATTCGTTAATATCATAATCATTTTTATAACGTTCCGTAACAATAGTAGCTGTATATCGCATTTTCTTGAATAAAATATTTATGCTTGATACAGATTTGTCGCGGAGTAAAATCACAGTATTGGGAAGAGCTGTCTATTGATGAAGGAACGTGCGCTGTACACGGGTCCCAATGGGTGACGTACCTGCGACCACAAGAGGTATTCCGTATAATATCCACTTCGTCGAGGATGGGTATGCGAGGGGCGGCTCTGTGGTCGCTCGACCTGGATGATTGGCGCGGAGAGTGCTCCTGTGAGCCTTGGCCGATTCTCACCGCATTGAGACAAGGACTACTTGAACCCAACATTTCGCCTACATTGTGCTGATTTCAAGTGTACAATTTAATAAAATATCAATACGCTCTCAAACATCCTAAACACGATACAAACTGAAGAATAATGGACGAACATGGATTATCGGTTATTAGCAACTGTCGGGAGTCAGCTTTTTAGTCTTCTGATACTCATTTTATCTACTATATATATTGTTTGTAAGAAATCTTTGTAAATTACCTAGTTTAAGATTTTTGCTCCTCGCTACACATGTTTGGTTGTGATATTTTGTACATTATTTTCTATCTTGTAATATATATTTTTATTTTATAATAGGAATCCATAGTATCCAAAAATATACTTGTCATATTTCCATTTTGTGAATATTCAATTAAGTATATAAGTTAGAAAAATGTATATTTATATAAAATTCCTATCATTTTAAGTTTAAATGAATTACAATATAAAAGCAAACAATGACCTGTGTAAAAATGTGACAAGGACCTAATGCCATATTATTTTAAATAATAATAAAATTGTAAAAATTAAAGAAAGTTTTTTTTAATTATCAGCCTACAGATGCTAGCCTGGGATTTTGGTACATTTCTACCTTTTAAAAGTATTTTGGTGAGGATACTTCGTGTGAAGAGAGGCCTCAAAGATCTGCTAGGGAAAACACTGTTGAACCACCGTAGCACTTATTTTCGGAAAAACCTTTTTAACATATTTTTTTTATTTTAAAACAAATATCGCAATAAGGAATCGCAGGGACTACCGCAAACTAGAGTAGCGCGTTTTTACACCGCATTTAGACTACTTATCACGCGGTCATATTTTGGTCCTATACACAGATACTTTCGCAGCCACGTCAAGGCAGTAGCGTATTACTTAGACCAACCCATCATCCCACGACCGTCTTTAATAAATAATTGTTGGCTAGTAAAAGGTGTAACTTCCCATTACGCACTTTTAACACAGTATTTCAGTATAAAATTCCAATTTAGAAATTTATATTCGGTAATGGTCTCAGTCAGCCACCGTGCGCTTCTGGAGACAGTTTTCGTCAGCGATTTCCAAACCAAACAATGCAGTCTCTAGGTCAAAGAAGAGAGCGTAACTAAAAGGTTGATAATGCATTCCCAACTCCTCTCGTGTTTTGCATGTCTATTGGCGACGGCGATCGTTTTCTACTAAACCCTTTGTTCCTTTGCAACCCTTCTATCGCAGAACAATATATTTGTAGAAAAAGCTTATTAATTCAACAACAATAGATTTTAAAAACACGTGAGATGCATTACCACCGTCAAAAAACAGTTATTTTTATGGTAGGCAACGCCCACTGGCCAGGGCTACCTCACTCACCAGTAATTCTTTCACTTCACGCTGGTCTTCTGCGCAGCCGTGGTAGTTCCCCGGATAAGCCTGCCCATGCGTGAAGCTGCAGAAGCTACTACGTGGCCCTATCAAAGTTCAATATATAAAATGGTGTATAAAATTGTAGACTTCTTTTCTTTAATCGACGATGCGCTACGTTTGCTTAACGTATCTCTTATTTTGTTGGTATTATTAGCTTTAGTTTTAAATGAGGATATGTCTATTTATAACATAACCGATGGTGCCTGTCACTTCCCTATCACATTAGTTTCATCTGAGAAATTTCGACGCAATAATTCTTGAAGGACTACAATGCCCAACTATCTGCAAGTTTAGAAAATAAGCTGCGGCTGCAATGGGTGGTTCATTATTTTTGTTTTACAATTTTCCTTTATACCGTGCTTCTCGGGTTCGAAAAGTTTATTATTAATTATTATTAATCTCAGACGCCTGTAATCGATAAAATGTTGCCAGTTCGAATCCCAGTGACGACTAGATTTGTTTTTTCAATTTTGAAGGAACCACTCTCCTTCTCCTCGGCAACCAAGGTGAAGTCGCGCAGGAGGAGAACTGTTATAACGTTTGGATTCACCATTGATGACGCATTTTCATTATTGCATTTAAAAAGGTATTTCTTTACATTTGGAATTTCGATGGACAGCGCCGAAAATACCAGTCAATGCGCTCGCCTAGAAATAAAGTCTCAGCCTATTTATTATAATCATTTATCTCACTGGAGGGTAAAGACATTCTAAGTATAGAGGGTATAAGATAACAGGTCCACCACGCGAACTCACTGAGGATTTGCAGACTTAAGTCACATATCTTTGAAATATTTCATTTTACTATATCGAAAACATGCTGGTTTCCTCACTGCGTTTTCCTGCACCGCTGAGCACGTAAACGAAAACAAGAATTAAATCGAAATTACCAATTCCATTGCTGCCGGCTTTAGGATTAGAACTCTGGTTGGTAGAGTGTATTGAAATAAAAGCAAACGCCCCGACACAGCTATCACAGCTCACGCTCACTTATATCCATACATACCAGCAGCAAACAAGTTAATAATTCTGTCGTGAAAAGCATCCTAAGCCCTCAATGCCCTCATCTATCTCAGTGCTGATAATATAGGTAATACGGAAAAGGAAAAAAATATACAAATTAATTATACCTTTTATTCAACTGACATTGACTGTGAATATAAAGAATGACAAAATATATGGTTATATGTATTCACAAGCACAGTGTTTTTCTAATTCACATCAATTGTTACGACTTCCAATCAAGTACATACAAGTTGTGCGAAATGAGGGGATCGATTCTATGATGATGTCACATCTCCATTGGCCCGGTATGATTCGGCGTGACATTATATTTTATCTTTTACCTATTAATCATTGTACTTTATTATCATTTAAATGGTGCAAAAATATTATGTTCAAACGCTATTACATTCCAAAGTCCGACATAACTAATTCAATGCTTTACCTTGATACAGCGATAGACATTAGAACAGGGAAATTTGTACCTACGAGACGCAATTCAGTCATTCAGTGATTCAGTGTGAGGTTACGTATCTAACTCGGAAGTCGTGTCGTCGTCAGTTATGTTTCCGTGTGTTGTAATAACCTGGAATTCAATTACATACTTATGATAATCATTATTAATAGTACTTTTCGTCTTATATTATAAATTTAGTAAAATGATTATAGTATGCATCTTATTTCTTATATAGGTTTAAGTTCTTTAATTTTTTATTTATTAAAAGTGATCAACAATATCGAATAAATTTTTCATCTAGTCAGTAACAGGTACACAAACATTAATAAATTGCAATGGCGAAAAGACTACTTAAATCTTTTATTTTAACCTCTAAGCCCGTTCACGTTAAACCTCAGTTGGGATATGTAACTACAATTCGTTCTAGGAAATTACACACTAATGACGTAAGTATCTATATTTAAAAATAATCACAAATGTAAACCTCTTTAGCTTTTTAAAATTGAATATGGGATTGTAGTTAAAAAATGAAATTTAATTTAAGATAACAAACTCAACCTTGACCTTGTATTCGATTTACAACTTAACGTACAATATATACACAGTATATTTACACTGTACAATATATTTTCATTGCTTCGAGTGATACCTAACATCTTGTTGATATGAAAATCTAAAATTATTTATTTATATATATTGATTATGCACTTTCATATATTTTTCTTTCATGGCGATTTTGACTCTAGATAGATATTCGATAATGACGTAACGTAAATGTAGTTATAATTTACAATTCATCATGACAACGGTTGCCCTATGACGACAAGCACAGCAACTTGGGTTTGACTTTGAACTTTTGGAGTAGCAAGCAATTAGCATTTTTAAATTTACCTAGCATCAAATTCGTTAGTTTAAAAATATGAGACCTTCAGAGTTATAAATTTACTAATCAGACTCGACTTGAGCGATCGCAGAGATGTGGCTAATTATTTGTTAAGAATATAATTATTTAAAGATAAATTTAAAATATTACTCAATACCCATAATATAGCAAGATGTTTTTTTTTTTCATTACAGGACATACCAAAAGAAGTAAAGATCCCAGTACAATGGGGTCATATAGCAGGTAAATTGTGGGGACATGAAAATGAACAACCAATATTAGCGCTACATGGCTGGCAAGATAACGCTGGTACATGGGATACTCTAGCGCCGTTTCTTTACAAAAAGCGGCCAATACTCGCCATAGACTTTCCAGGCCATGGTTTCTCATCTTGGTTTCCGACAGGTATTTTTAATAACATTATACTAAGCTCAAATCAAGTAGATCATTTTAATTTAACCTCATATGACGAGAATACCGCCATGCCATACGATTATTACCATAATATTGTTTCCTCAAAAATATTCTCAATTTTTTCGATATAAAGTTGTAAGTGTAATGTTTTATTTAGTAAATAAGTAACTAAATTTTAACTATAACTTAATTCATGTGTATATAAGTTATGTAACGAGTTTCTAGTTAAAAGTTTGTGCGCAAATAAACAAGTATCATAGAATCTTTCATCCACAAATATCATAGAATGTTCTCTATTTTCTCGTTAAACTGATAGATAGTCCCTTACCACTAGAAACATTTAGATTTCCACTAAGTATATAGTTAATATTTAATTGACGCTTTGCCTAATGTTTAAGAAGTTTTTTTATAGATGTCTTAGCTGCCCTGCAAAGTGTAATTTAATAAAACAATTAATTAATGAACAGGTGCATTACTTCGACACGATATTATTGACCTCCATCTTTTAGCCAATCTTAAGATGTTGATAAAAGTTTAATGTAATCGTGACATTAAAAAAACACCAAAATTTTATTATAATCTACTTAACAACCAAATCACTTAATGCGATAGAATCGAGCATAAGATTTGTAACAAATGTAAGACAAATAAATAAATATTGCAAATTGGAACCTAGGGATCGTAGTACTAGTAGATTGCACCTATAAGATCATTTTTATATATTCGTAACTCTATATTCTATGTTATAGGTGCAAATCACTAGTAATCCAGACCTCGACCTCCAATCGCAAGTCAAAGTTCAAAGCTACAGGTTCATTATAAGTACTGATTTTATTATGTACATAACTGTTTTTAAACTTCTACCGTCTTGTTAAGCTTGAGTTAAGAATGACAAATACATTTTTTTGCAAAGAATCAAGCATGCAAGATATATTATAGCGACAAAATGCTTTATTATTCACATCTCATGCTCTATGGTAATTAGATAAAAGATAAGTATTGTTGCGGAAAATTGAAATATTATCTTATTTTTCAGTTTTTTCTTTTAATTTTAAACAAATTTATTTTATTGTTATAGATTCTTGTTTAATATTAAACGAGATAATATTTAAATCTTATAATGTATTGAATTTTATTATAAAACGTCACGTTATTCATAGCTCTTGCATAATTTTTATAAATAGGAAAGTTCTGTGCGTATTATTAATAATGTTTTTGTTATAGGCATGATGTATTACCCTTGGGAGTTCGCACGTCTTATATTATTCATTAAAGAATATTATAAATGGGACAAAATTTCACTACTCTGTCATTCCATGGGATCTATAGCAGGATTGAGATTCGCATCGCTGTTTCCCGATGAGGTCACATTTTACATTGCGATCGACAGCCTCATTGCCGATGACTACGATTTAAATTTGGTCGTGGACAAATATCCAAAAACTTTGCGGAAAATACAATTAGCGCTTTCACGCTTGGAAGATGAACCACCGTCGTACAGCATAGAAGAAATAACGAAAATATGGCATATGGGCACATCTAAGTCTGTGGCGCTGGATAGTGTAAAATATTTGCTTAAACGTGGTTCTAAACAGTCTAGTCGTGACCCCAACAAATATTATTTTTCAAGAGATTCCAGATTGAAACACATATTGTTTAACCCAGAAGACAAAAAGTTCGTGGAGGCACTTGCTAAAAGGTTAACATGCCCAACGCTATACATCAAGGGTTTAGACTCACCCTACGCATCAGACGACTTTTCTGTGGAAATGCGTGAACTGATTAAGAAAAGCAATCCGAAATTCGATTGTCACTTATTACCAGGCACCCATCACTTGCATTTAAATGACCCTGAGAAAATTGCAAATTTAATTTTGCAGTTTTATCAAAAATACAATTTAATTGATTAAATTTTGGAAAGCCTTATATAATTGAAACAAATTTGTTTAAAGTATGACGTAATCACAAAATAAGTTTTGTGTATTTAAAATTAGAGCCCGTGATAGTCGGTATTATATTTTGCTTATAAAGCCAGTCTCTACCAAAACTAAGATCGCATAATGTAGTAGTAGTAGTAGTAGTAGTAGTAGTAGTGAATAGGAATGAACATTATTTGTAAAGAAATTAGAATAACATTTTAAAAAATGTGTGTACGTAAGTACACATGTAAGTTATACTTCTTTAGCGTAACACTGATAACGGTTGAAATAAATAATTTGGAATTGTACGCAAATATCATAGTTATTTTTGGTTGCCATAGTAATACCGTTAAGTTGGCCGCTTTGGAAGCAACTTCATCATGTGACATGTCGTTTTATGACTGTCGGAGTCTGTGTGCGCGCGTCGCTCAGATGATAGCATTTTAGTCAATTGTCAATTGAGACTTACTTCAGTTTAAGAATAAAATTGACATTTTGAGCAATTTTTTAAATATAGCTATATATTTAATATGCAGGGATATAACATGATGTTAAATTTTGTCGCACGTTGACTTCCAAAGACTATTGTAGTAGTTAAAGTAGCGATTTCCAAGTAGCCATTGAGGCTACTTAGGCTTTACCAGCAATTTAGTTTTATTATACTTATTATAAAGGATGGCTGAAACATAATTTCAAATTTTAATAAGATGCCTATTAATATTAATAACAAAACATTTAACATCATTTTATGTCTAATCTTATTGTATACTAGATATGTATATAATTATATTTAGTTTTAAATAATTTAACCAACAGTATTATAAAACATTATACTTATATTAACACATCTTCAGTATACAATGCCAAAGATTAATAAAATAATATCACAATGATATAAATATCAACATTAACATGTACTATTTGTATTCTGATTAATAATATCTTCTTTTGATGATGAGTTCTTTAAACTGTTGCAAAGGTGTGCTCCTTTTCTCATTGGCAACACTTTTAAAATTGCTTCTTGCCATGACATACCTTCACATACTTTGAGCACAATCTCGAACACTGTAAAGATAAACATGAACACCTACATTTTAACATCAATGTCAAGAAACACTTTGTTATCAAAAGACATTTTAGGTCATTCAAATTAGCAACTTCAATATGTCATTGAACAAAGGAGGGCTTTGCCCAGCAGACACAGTATTAGGCTGTTACTTTACTCTTACTTCAAAATGATCAGTCTAAAGCTGTTGCTTTATCATTTTGTATGTACATGTAAATCAACAGATTTTTAATATACATGTTGTTACATGTATATTATGCTGTATGCAAGAATACTGATACTGCAGGATTTCTTCTCAATTACAAAATGTTAAAAAGGATTTAGTAAAATTGTTTTTAACTTTACCATGATCAATTGTTAACACCTTTCTTGTTTTCATATTCACATATTTATTTAAAGGCAACTGACAATGCCTGATACTTTGTTCTATTGCAATGCTGTGACAGAGACCCTGTAAAATAAAAACATTGATGTTTAGTAGTAAAATAGTGTTTTTATCATTTTTTTAGTTAATTTAAATTATTCTATTTATAGTTAATTTAGATTAATCTTAACAGATATACAAGTATGAGCAAAATCTATAAGAATTATTAGTTAATAATATTATTTTTTAATTTTATAGATTATAAGTGTTTTAAACATCATATATGTTCAACTTAATGCCAGATCTTAAAATCAATACTGCACAAGAATAACAAATAATGGATTATATTTTATATTTAATACCTTGTATTGATTATGGTCAACCAATCCTCCAATAATATAATATGTATCTTCTTCAAATGTTTCAATAATATTATCAGACTCACTTGTTAAATATACAAGTTTGTCTTTAGGAAATAACTCAAGGTACCGTTTCTCATGATATTCAATCTGAAATAAGAAGTAACAATAAAAATCCAATTAGAATACATGTTATGCATTCATACAAAATGTACCCAGAAATAAGGTCCCATGGGCACACTTTTAATATGTACTGAAAATAGCTGCATCATTATATGATATGAGTGATATGATGTAGTCTTTACAAATCTAAATTTTTTTTCTGAAAGTACATGACATCCTGCCGGTGATAATGTCATCTTTCAGGGTTTTAAGATGTTGTATAAACATATTACTTTCATAGCTCGAAGAACCGATGGCCGTTGTGGCAAAAAGGTTCTCAAGTGGAGACCACGTGACGGCAAATGCAGCGTAGGAAGGCCTCCCACAAGGTGGACGGACGACCTAGCCAAGATCGCAGGGACACGTTGGATGCAGGCCGCTAACGACCGGTCGAAGTGGAAGTCAATGGGGGAGGCCTATGTTCAGCAGTGGACGTCCTACGGCTGATATGATGATGATGATGATACATGCATTTAACATGGGAAAACACCCAGATATTAGAACATTATATTTACACATATGTTTGTACCATGGAGAATTAAACACACAACCTGTGGGTCCAAAACCAATAACTATTGGAAACTGTGCCAATCTTGCTATTATATGCGGCCCTCAACAGCATCTGTCAGCAATGGTTGGAATATTTTTGCAAAAATTATTTAATTCTGTGTAAATTGCAAATAAAGGTAACAAGCAAAGTTATAAAAAAAATTTTTTTATTACTTTACATACAACATAATTTTTTAATTTAATGAGTAACATCTAACACAGAGCAATCCGACATGGAAAGGTCAGCCTTCATGGACAGCTAAACTTATGGTTATTTTTTTTATAACCACCCAGAACTAGGAGCCCTATGTACCAGTATAAGACTTAATATTTATTTTTTATGATAAGTAGACAATATCATACTGTCCCTGATCTCAGTTTTAATCACTTCCAATGATTTGGTTTGTATTTCTGCACAATCAACAAATAGGTCTAGAATTTCTAAACCACCAAATCAGTTAATTTTATTAATGATAATTTGTTTTTATGTCAATAATTGAGAGCAGGTGGAGCACCTGATGTAGTGATACCAGCCATCCATGGAAATCTTGAACACTTTAGGGTTTACAGATCCACTGACCTTTTAAAAGTAGTAACATGGGCCCTGGTTATCACACTCGCCAGAAAAAAGGAGAGTTTAATACATTCACTTAACACTAGTTTTTTGTGAGGCCACGGTAGTTCCCCAGACAAGCCTACCCATTTTTACAACATCTCAAACTAATATTTGGCCTTACCCCAGAAATGTATTTTTTTTTCCAATATGCAACATAAATGTAATTATATACCATTCAGAATAAAAGGAGACATACATCCCAATGCTCATATCCATTATGCCTTGACATATCACTTTTTGGTTTATCGCCAAAACTTGTAATATGAAACTGTAAAGGCGTATCGGATCGCCTATTGACTGAATAACATCTTAAAATTTGTTTTATTACTTTAAATCTGTCCTTCTCAATCATTAAGTGATCAAAACTAAGATCTATTATAATTCCTATATTTTTTTTGGGTTTTTCTAATTTCATTTTCTTCAATGTTTTTCTACTTGGGCCAAGGTCAATATTTTCTGCCCGAGCAATTTTTCTTCTTTCCTTAGCACGTGCTTTCTCCTTAGCACGTTTTTCATGTTTATTATTTTCCCACCTTACTTTTTTTAACCACTTTCTCATTTGAGTTTTTGTATACGGTCGAGGCAACTCGTTGCCATCGTGGTCTTTAAGTCCAGGATCTTTTTTTATGTCAAAAAGTGAGTATTTGTGAAAATTTGTCTCGGCGCAGAACTCCATCGCTTTTCAAATAGGTTGTGTTTTAGATAAATTTTGAAAACATTTAAAATTCGTGTAACAGTTTCTTACATTTATGAACTTTACAAAAAATAATTTTCAAAGTACATAGTCAATAGCGAAACATTTCTAGTTTCTAGACATGCTAACGCGTCAAATCAGGACATTACCTACAATTAAGTCAATGTCAACTTGACAGCTTGACACCTTGACAGCTTATTTCGCTTTGAATATTTATGGGTGGACAAAAACATTTTCATAACAATCGCAAACATTTGATTTAATTTTTTTAGTTTAGTTTTCTGTTAACCCAGATCTTTCACAGCTTCATAGGAAGAGGTCCACTGATGAACGACACGTGGACTTACTGAAACAACACTGCATTTCCATGACCCCGGTTAACGAAAGATGAACAATTCGACTAACAAGAGGATTGATCAGATAGAGGCTTGAACAATGGCTAGGTCGGGTTGCAGTAGAATCTATTCGTAGGAAGCAATAAGGTGGAAATTGCGTCCTGGCAGCGACGAACAGTTTTTAGAAAATTTATCTACACATCTTAAGGTCTTTAATCTTAAGTGCACAGAATGGCACTAGAAATAAATTGAAATAAAAATTTCAATAGCAAAAGTGAGATTTCTCCAGTTTTCAAAAATACTTACTCATTGTAAAATGTAATTTGAGAAAATATTGTTGGCTGTAAAGGAAGGTTGTGAAATTGCTAAAAATACAATAAAAACAAAGACATTAAATTATTAATAATATATAATATCATGACTATTAATAAAACAATTTCATAAATCAATAAAGAAATAATGTAAATGACACGATCTACTCGAAAATAAAACAAATAGGGGAAGGTCGGTACCTTTTTTTTCGGTATTCGTCATATCTTCTCGGGGAAATGCTTTGTCCGCCTACGATCTTCGACACCAGTATCCGCACCGTAGAACTAGTCCCTAGCAACAACGGCGTCAATTGGCGCACATTGATGAGTAAATCCAATGTAAACGTCTCCTGCAATAAGCAAGTACGAAAATTCTTTGTGAGAACGACTTTAATCTAATCCATCTTTATATATATATAATTCTTCGGTACGTTTGTATGTGTCACTGAACTCCTCCTAAACGGCTGGACCGATTATAATGAAATTTTTTATGTGTCTTCAGGTCACAGATACACAATTCGTCCACTACATTTTTTTTTTTATTTTTTTTATTTACAAGTTGCTTTCGGATTTCAGTCGTGTTTACAGGACAACGTCTGTAGGGTCCGCTAGTCTATCTATGTATCTCTCCTAGCCGTGTTCGACTACATGGTTCAATATTGGCTCTTTTCATATGACGCTTCAGCACATATTTATTAACAAAAGAAACTCAACCAGTAACCTTATAACCTTTGAGATAGAGGCGTCCGCAGTTTTCAGATAATATGTATATATAAATAAGATATGATTATCTATTTATACAAGACAAATGTTGACATTGCGTATATAATTCGTTCAAACATAAACGTAACAGTCGCTACCGCAATTGTGAGTAATATGTCTGTAAGTATTTAATGATTGCTTTACAATCCTTTGTAAAATGTTTATAACAGTATAATGTATAAATGGAATTAAACAATGGAATGGCTTAGGATCGCTCTAGCCCAGGGTCCGGGTGCTCGCTTTTAATACAATATTTCGAGCAACCTGACCTCAAATCCCGTTATCGGTACCAATGATATTGTTAATTTTAAGTGCTGTATTATCACGTTCTCAGCGGGAAAGGAACACATTGTGAGGAACCCTGCCTATTTTCAAAATCCGCAGCGAGGTTGCGTGGCGGACTATGACCTAATACCCCATGGGGTATTAAATCAACATGCAGGCAGGGGGTCTTTGCCCAGCCCTGCGACGTACTCGTAATTATATAGGCTGTTACTTTTTTTTACACTTTCAGGATCGCTATCAACTATGGGGCGGATGTTTCCAAGAACAGCCTTCGGAAGTTCTGCGTCGGTTAAATGACTCTTTGCCTGTCGATGTACGGCTGTACCGACAGGATATCCGAGGAAGCCAAGCGTGGGCGCGAGAATTAAATCAATCTGGCTTTATTTCGAATGATGACTACAAAGCTATTCGCGATGGCTTGACAAAAGTATGTATATGTATGTACATAAACTTAACTGTCCCGGTTGCCTGCGGGTAAAAATATCTAATTTGTGTTAAGTATGTTGTAATTTTATCTATTAAATCGAAAAATATGTACAAAATGTTAAAAACTGAAATAATAATTTCATTCTATCATTTTACTAGCTCATCTCGGTCACGTTGCACTGTGGCCTTTTCTCCGTTTCCGTTGGATTTTCAGAATAAAAACAAAAATTGACTTTTAAAAAAAGCCGCCTAAGTACCAGTCAGATTCGCGCACGAAGGGTTCCGTACCAATATCTATAAAAACGGCAAAAGCATCCCGCTTTACCCTTTAGGTACGGAACCCTTAAAACGAGTTCAGCATTTTTTGAAAATCACCCATCCTATCAACAAAAAAAAAACTTTTTCTGTCTAGAATAGAATTAGTTTGAAATAAAGATTTGTTGCAGATTCAATTAAAAATAAGGAGCGGGAATTTTCTTGGTTCATTTTACGGAATATTTCAACCAATGTTACGCTTTCAGTGCTTAGACTATCAAAACTTTATCGAACGCAGGCTAGCCAGAACCCAAGGGTTTAAGGCCCTCCTCAGTGGATAGGGCCGCGCATGTACTCATGCGTGCGTTAATTATGGCATGGCCTACGGGCCATCGAGGTTCGATGCGGACCGGAACCCCGATGGCCGTTGACTGTGCTTGGTTAGTCGGTGGCTGGAAGCGGTGAGAACCGCCCTAGAACGCGGGTGTACCTAGTGTACGCATTGTGTTGGTTTGGCCGTGCTCGAAAGCGAGAACGAACTATGGTGTTAGTTAATGCACTAACTGTGCGTGGGTCCGACGTTCTTAAGTCCCCTTCTTCGACTGAGTCGATAGGGATGTTGCGCGGGCGACGCTTGTTGACGTTCGCGCTAGTGTCGGGTTGGTAATTTCCTGCGCTTACCACCAAAGGGTTGGCATGATGTTCAGCTCTGTCGAAGAACCGTTTGGTGAGATCTTTAAAATGTTCGCGAATCGTCGGCATACAGAACGTTGCGTTGATACCACTGCGCACCGGTTGCGCGGCGTATTAATTTATTTTGTACTGTTTGCAACTTGTACAAGCGAGTAGGGTTTATATGGGCGTAGGTCATGCACGCGTAGGACATAATAGTTCTTACTTACCTTATATAATAATAATTTGTGCCTTAAGAGCATTTTACTTGACGCATTGGTTTGGTGATAGAGTCGGCCGAAGACGAACTCGGCTCTGTTTCTAATGTCATTAATATGCAATGTGAACATCATGCGTGAGTCGAAAGTGACTCCTAGATATGACCGGCAAGTACTTCGTCTGAAGTGAATCGCCACACTCTTGCTTCTATTCTCCATTTGCGGAACCAATCGCTCAGACTGTCGGCGGCGCTTTGGAGAGGAGGATTTTTATCTGTGTAAAAGAACGCCGTGTCATCCACGAAAAGCGCGAGATTGAGTGCGGGTCTTTTGGTATGTCGCTCGTGTAGGGCGTAAAAAGCAAGGGGGAGAGGCAGAAGCTTTAAGGAACGCCCGTCGTGAGAAGGCTAAATTAATCCTACTAGATAGTCATTGATAGCTCTCCTCAAATATTTTAAATATGACATACAATTGCAAGCAGATGCTAATGAATATAAAATAATTTTTAAAGGTTGAAGCTGAAATAACAGAAGAATTGTGCAAAGACGGTCGCCTAAGCGACGAAGAGGAAGACATCCATTCGGTGATAGAACGGAGGTTACAAACGCACGCTGGTGACGCAGCTTTGCGACTTCACACTGCCCGAAGTCGCAACGATCAATCCGCAACAGATACACGACTATGGATGATGAATTCTTTACCACAAATTTTCAACGAAATCAAACAGCTTATCATGGTATTATATCCTTTTTAGGAAAAAAAGTGATACCCCTATTTTTATATTCTAGATATTTGAGAAGAGGCAAACGAGCTGCCGGTTCACCTAATGTTAAGTGATAACCGTCGCCATTGGCAACACCATATTGGTTTGCAGATGATTTACCACCTTTTATAAAATGGGCCCCCACCGGAAGAAACGCAGAAATATATCATTTCCACTACATGCTGCAGTTCTATAAGGTCGTTGTACTTACCCGGGCGATCCTGCCCATTCGAGCAACAGTGGAAACTGGTGCGTGGCCCTGCCACACCTACCACACCTTATCACGTAATGGTAAGCAAAAACATGTACAGCCGTTTGTAGTTGCGTAGCCAATTTTTAAGAGAATTGGACCACTTTGTATTTTGTATTACTGGTCGTGTTGGCCACTTAGTGCATATAGGTACTACACATTTGTGTACTGTTGTTGCTTTATCAAATAGTTGTATAATATCATGTATTGGTTAATAAAATTTGCAACTTTTCATTTTTGGGGCTAAATTCCAATTCTTATGTTCTTGGTTTATAGTTAACGATAGATTTTGCTAGAATTGCGTTCGAACCCAGTGAAGTGACAGTAAAGAATAGAAAAAGCTGTAGAGATTTTGACAAAGATTAAATCTCACTTAACTTCATCACTGTATTAAAAAATAACAAAAAACATAGAGAATTTAAATCATGTTTCAGATTACCGTAACAGTGAAATTTTGAATTTTTTTTATTTTAGAATTTCTATTTTAGATTTTAGTAAATAGAGCAGAAAATGAAATTGATATAATAATCCCTGGTTATACACACTTGCAACGCGCTCAACCTATACGTTGGAGTCATTTTTTACTAAGGTATGATAATTCGATCGTTTATCGTAATACAAACATTCTCTTCATTCAACCTAATAAATACTTTTACGTATACTTACCATACATATTTTGCTGCCCTATTCTTGTATTATTTTCTCATTTATTAATACACCTTCTACACCGCTGAACTCTTTAATTACTTCTAAACGAGCTTTTGGATAGTCATAAAAATGTGAAAGTGCGAGTATGTAATCCACTATTTTGCGTGCATAAAATGCGTAAAGTGATACTTTGAGGTATAAAATCCAATCGAAACCTCATTGGTGTATGATACTGAGACACTCCAACCAGCGTTCTCAGACCGCTAATAAATTTGCTTTGCTTTTACGGAATTAATGTTTACTTCAGAATTAAAGAGAGTAATAATCTTAAATAGTTACGCGTGGATGCTGCACGATGACGTAACGAGGTTAGAAGAGCAATGGAGTCGCTTGGCCCGGTGTCCCCTTGGTAGTGGTGCACTGGCAGGTTGTGCCCTAGCCATTGATCGAGTCCGACTGGCTCGTAACTTAGGCTTCACGGATTGCACGCCGAACTCGTTACTCGCTGTCGGCTCTAGAGATCACATCGGTATGTCATGAATTGCTTGCAAATATTAATTCATGTTTATTTTTAACTCTATTTACATCGTAAGATTAAGTAATGTAAGCCTTATTTTCTAACTAATCGGATGCCTCGAACAGTTGGTGAAAGCAAATAATAATACACAATTCCCTTATTGTATAAGAATATTATTGTATTCACTAGATCGTACGTTTGAAACACTTAAGAGACAGAAATAGTCGAGTTATTAATTCACCGAACTTATCATTAGATCGAAAACGTGTCTGGTTACAGACCTGGCATGAATTTTGTCATTGCCCTTATCCAATTTTTGAAAACAAGCTTTTCCACGGGTTCGATATAGGATAAATCTTTATAATATAGTCTCCAAACCGAAAGCATAACTTCCGTTAACACAAAATACAAAATGTAATTTTGCATGCGCGAATAATCGGAAAATACCAGGTTTATTAGTGTACGCGATTAGAACTCAACTCGCGAATCTCAGATTGGATGACGAAAAGCACGCTTTTCCAGCAATAATTACATTTTCTGCTAAAAATTTTGCTTATTAGCATTAAAATTTGAATGAACTAAATACTTTCACAGTGGAGTTCCTGAACTGGTCATCAATGTGCGGTTTGCATCTTAGCAGACTAGCGGAAGACATGATACTTTACGGCTCCCAAGAATTTGGCTTGGTTAAGTTCTCTGATCAATACTCAACTGGGTCCAGTTTAATGCCACAGAAAAGGAATCCCGATGGCTTAGAGCTTATAAGGGGAGCTGCAGGTCTTCTGCTTGGCGACGCCTTCGCGTTCAGTTGCGTATTGAAGGGACTGCCCAGTACTTATAACAAGGACTTGCAGTCTGATAAAGAGATTCTATTTAAATCTTATGACAAGTTGTTGGACTGCTTTAAAGTTGCAAGCGGAACTATGAAAACTATGGCGGTAACGAACTTCATTTTTTTCATTTTAAAAGTAATATGGTAATAGTCACCCATGGAAATAATTTCACCGGAGGATGTGGGATCGATCCCCGGGTTATGTATTATATATAATATGTATTTATTTACAAAAGAAAAAGTACATTTAAATATATTATTCAGTGACCTGGTACCAATTTTAATAACTTTCTTTAGTCTGGGACTAGATGATATTTAAAAATACGTTTCCTTTCAGGTTAATCCCGATCGAGGGGTAGCATTATTGGAATCGAGCATGCTGGCGACGGATTTGGCTCACTCACTGGTACGAAGAGGTGTTCCATTCCGCCGCGCTCATCACGTCGTGGGCACTGTGCTGCAGCGCGCTGCAACCCTCTCAGTCGACCTCAGATGCATGCCGCATCAAGAGTACATCGCTATCTGGTAATTGTTATGTAATTTATTCCATTAGTCCCGCAACCTTAGTGTTTCTTAATGCGATCAAAAATGTATTAAGATTTCCACAAGTCCATAGTTATTATTTTGTCATACGTCATTCGTATTGAATCAATAAAAATGACTTACCTATATATTTTAAGACGAAATGTATTTTTATGTATGGAAAATATGGATTTAATTACAATATGCATATTTATTTTTGTAGTCCCGAATTTGGAAGTATGGAAGACATCGAAAAACTTTTCTCATGGGAATCAAGCGTGGAACAATATACCAGCATAGGAGGAACCAGTAAAAGTTCAGTTAATCAACAAATAGCACAGTTAAACAACTGGTTACAATCGAAGCAATCATTTTGAACGTAATCATAAGAAACAATGTATTAGCCAAATTATAAATTAATAAACTGTTTTTTGCCGCAAAACAAATTCGTATTCTATTCAAACCAATTCCACATCGACGACTATTTCCTACCCTAGTTAATAAGTAAAACATCTACCAACAAGCATTCCAGCCAAGTACGTAAATATTTTTATACAGCGTGTCGTTAAAATTTTATAACTCGGTAATGATGTTTAAAGAATGTAAATGTTTAATACAAAACATACATATACATGCGACATTGTGGCAACAAATGAAAAACTCTCTGAATCAGTCAGTTGTAGTTGTATAGGATGTTACATATTTTTCTTCTTTTTTTACTTATACAGCGTGTCGTTACCATCGCGACAATAAATGAACACGCGTCTAACGCTACTTGCCAATAATCATAAAAAAATATTAACGTTAAACAAAATCCATAATTAAAAAAAAATATTTTTCAAACAAACTAATTAAGTAAAAAGGAAAAAAAAATTGTAACACCTATACAACTCGCGTCAAAGCGTCGTATTACAAGCCTCTCCTTCTAACAGCATGTTTTGTCTCTTTTAAATTCATTCAACCCATTCATATGCTTTGTGACCTTTACAAATGAACTTTACGTTACGCTTTTATAGGTAAGGGTGTTCTAAAATTCTTTGTTTTGGAAAATTTAATAACTCTGTAAATAATGATGTTTAAAGAATTTAAATGTTTAATACAACTTTAAAAAGTTATCCCCTATATGCGTGTTCATTTATTGTCGCGATGGTAACGACACGCTGTATATATATATATAATTTGACATACCCATAGGGTTGTAGATGCGTGGCTACCTTTTAATAAAGTGAGCCCTGACTACCTTACTCACCAGATGAAACGCATAAGTATTACTGATGACTCCGTGGCGCAGTTGCCAAGGTATTGGCTGCGGCGTCGGGGGTCGTGGGTTCGATTCCCACACGGGACAACTATTTGTGCGACCTACAGATATTTGTTTCGCATCTGGGTGTTTGTCCTCGTGTAATTTATGTTTGTAAAACATCCTTACAACACAGGATAATGTTATTCTAAAATGAGGACAAAATGTTAAAAAAAAAAACGGACTGACGGACCTGCCCATGGTTGCAACAGGGAAGTCTGTTGCGTGGTCCCACCACAGTCATATTTGTTATTGTCATTAAACACGTAACGTTTATTTTTATTTGTATATAATTTAATCACATCCTTAATTATTGACGTATCCTATAACCAACATGTCACATAAATATCTTTCAGTACTAGTTCATTAAAGTGCGAAGTGGGCTAGATATTGCGAAATACCTATTGTGATAGTCACCCCATATTTACACTTTAATCTTTTAATTAAAATTTTTTCTTTACTATCACAACAAGGGCTTAACTATGCAGCTTACTAATCCAATACAATATGAAACACTATTGAGCGTTTACTTAGCACGTAATAAAACATTAACTGTATTTTATATCGAAAATTGTACAACAACATTTTATAAAAATACGATGAAATCGATAGATACTAGAATTTTTATCTCCTAATTTCTAGATAAATTAGTAAACATTTAATTTTATTAATTATTTTATTAAAAGTATTCTACGTATTCCATTGAATAATATATGCCTTTCATTATATTTCCAACTTACTATCGTCACTCCAAAAACTTAGTACCTCATTTTATTTATTTTAAATGGTATTAAATATAATATTTATATTAAATGGTTAGGTTAACATACTAATAATTTTCTATTAAATTTTATCGTACGTGTGAAAAATGTCCTGTACTATAATAATATATGTTGCAATAGTGAATATTTTTTTTATTTTTGTCTAGGTCCCTAATCTATATGCGTAAAATTTTAAACTTGTATATGCATTTGTATATAGTATAAGTATATTAGTTACTTATTTGAGGTTGGCCTTAGGGTAGACCATGGAAAAACAAGCATTAAACTTAAATAAATTAAATTAGAACTCTGCTCAGGAAAACTGAATTAATTGTAATTAGTAATTATAAGAGATATAAAAGTTGAAAGTTATAGTCAAAACAGTGTTTGTTATTCAACAAAGTTTGGGTTAATTTAAAAGATGATTGTAATTAGTTATTGAAATTAACCTGAAGCAGTAAATTCGTATCAACACAAGTCTTTTATACAAAAGCGCATTTCAACGCTTGTGTAAAATTAATACAGCCGTAGATTACGGGATTTGTAGATCAAACTGACGAACATAAAACACTACAAGTGTGTTCAAAAAAGATATACACCAAGCATGTCATTTAAAAAAAAAATTGAATGATTATTCATTAATAAACATATTTTATCTTCACTCATGAATTTTTATTATTGAATGTAGATGTTTATGAAGACATTTACGACGTTACGTACGTACTGTTATACTGTTATAGTTATGATTATTTAAAACAGTTAATGCTCCTAGGGATCCCAGAACCCCCTCCGACCGGGTTTCCTCCTCCGACCGGGTTTCCTCCTCCGACCGGGTTCCCGCCTTTACGTGGCGGAGGGGCTTAGTAGCCGTGGCTTGGTCACCCACGGCGAATCTAAGAAGAACTCACACTGGGCCGGCCTGTGCTGTAAGGCCGGCCCGAGAGGGCCGCTCCGAGTGGGCTCATTGAGCCCACTTTGGATGCATGCTAGACTTACAGGACGTAACGCGAAAGATGTAATACTTGCACTTCACTTCTGTGAGGCCGTGGTAGTTCCACGGACGAGCCTGGCAATTCGTACAACAGCAGAAGCTGTTGCGTGGCCCTACCACTGTAGCAATGGCGGATAAAACCAGCGTGGCCAGACTTCTTGTGATTTAATAGGCAGCTGATATGCGCAGTTGCAAATTACCTTCTATGCTTCAGGTGTTTACAATACGGCCACCAGCTCCTTAACCTCTATTGCACTGTTCAACCATCCATATTATCCGGCCAGTGCATATGCAGTACGAAAAAAAACATGAACCATACTACCCACACTTAAACTTAAATATACGGTGATAAAGATGATCTTACCCTCTAATAATAAAAACTGTTTCGAAACAAAGGTTTCGTTGTAAAGAAAATTATAAATCTTATAGAAACATAATTATGAAATAGTGCTATTGACAAAACTTTTACCTCGGCTTATTTATTTTTATACGTAAGATTTAATGGAAAGACTATTTCCACTTTTATTGTGCCTACGTTATTATCAGACAAATTTTGTTAATCGTTTAAATGATACATTAACTACTCTTCTTAATGAAATACTTACCTTACTTACTTACTTTACCTACAAAATTTATTGGATTTACATCCATTATTTTATAAATTTTAAAATTTTAAGCGACATCTCTCGTTCGAATTATCGTTGTAAAACGATATTCACAATTGTTTGTATACTGGAAAGGATTATAACAATAGATGCGCCAAGCATTGCTTTAAATGCTAAATAACAATGTAGAAGGAAGGCGTTAGGATTTTCGTCACTGTGGCAATTAACCGTTTAGCTCAGTGTCTAGAGCGTCAGGCCGCGAATGCCGAAGACGTGGGTTCGATTCCCACAGCGGCGACAATCTTTTCGTACTTTTTCTACATGTTTTAATTTTCTACATGTTTTAAAATCCATTATTTTGTCATCATTCCGTGACTGATCATTATAAAATGCGGATTTGGGATGCTGGTTAACTTTCATTAAACAAGTATAATACTTTCACTTCACGATGGCACTTCTCCAGACGAACCCGTCAAGCGTCTAGTGCGTGGCCCAACAAGACTAGAAACTGAATTCAAAACCAAATGCAGTGTCGATTATGTACGATTTGCATTGTCCAATTTGTCTCACAAGCCTGAAACGACGAGCGGTTAAGTGACTCTACTGTCTTAGAAAACTACGTTTCTATTTAGATTTCTTTAGTATAACATTTCAATGAAATACTTAACACAAAAACTTTATTAAATTACAGGAAAACGCTCAGTACTTACTGTGCTACACGCAAGATCGAGCACCAATATAACCACGCAAGATTTAATTAACTTATTATTCTTATTTATCAGTGGTATGCCATATGGTGTACAATTCAGTTACGTACTCGTAAGTAGGTAAACTAGATAACCGCGATCAAAGAGGGTTGGCCATTTACCAAAATCATGGCAATACATTTTATGTTTGTTTGATTTGTTAATTTCAAGCATGTGATACGCTTTCGGCCGTTCTTGTTATAGATTCGAGTGAAATGTCATTGCAGTTAATGTAGCTCAGAATAGTTACACACCTTAATACAATCTTATGGTACTGTCATTCTGTATGTATGTTTAAAAATCCTTTGTTTACATCTTCAGTTGCATGAGCATCATTCTGAACATAAAAATATTAGGTTGGGGAAAAAGTATTTTCGCAAATAGTATGTATGTATTTATAATATAATCAATCTCTTTGGCTATACCATTTGTATCTGGCTGGTTTTGGTATCATTAAAAAGTTTAAATTTTAAAAAAGATAATTCCAAATTCAAATTAGTAAATGTGTGATTTTCATTTGTTTTTCTTACTATTAAGATGAGTGATTCTAATGAAGAAACCGATACATTTTAAAATTTTACTTCAAAAAGGTAAAAATGCAACGCAAGCCGCGAAAAAAAATTGTGATATTTAAGTGTGAAACTAAAAGCAGTGTTTGTGATAGTTGCATAAACAGCGCATTTGAATAAAGCGGGATACGCAATAAAGCCCGATATTTGGGTGCCTCATGAGCTCACTGAAAGAAACCTAACGAACCGGGTAATCATTTGTGATTCTTTATTACGACGTAATGAAACCGAAACATTTTTGAAAAACCTGATAACTGGTGATGAAAAGTAGATTAGGTACGACAAGAACGTGCGAAAAAGGTCGATGGTCAAAGGCTGGTCAGGATTCACAGACTGGCAAAACCCGGGTTATCTCGCAAAAAGGTAATGCAGTGTATATGGTGGGTTTGGAAGGGCATTATT